AGAAATGAAAGAAACCTTAATTTATATCCAATATTTTTAAAAAAGGGATATTCTACAACCATTACAATTAAAACAATAAATTCAACAATGTAGATGCAATGAACTTCCTTCAAGACCCACACAACCAAAGATCACTCAAGGAAAAAATGAAAAAGAAAAATGTGAATAATCCCATCTTTATAAAATAAAACAAAAAAATTTTAATAAGAATGACAGGAAGGTGGTTCAAATGGTATATCCAACCAGCACAGCAAGCACGAGGCCCTGAGTTCAAAAGCTCAACTCCCACTGCTCCCCAACCAAAGAACAAACAAACAAATAAACAAAATCTAAATGTATTCCTGGGCACCGGTGGATCACGCCTGTAATTCTAGCTACTTGACTGGCTGAGATCGGGAGGATCACAGTTCGATGCAAGCCCAGGCAAATTCACAGAACCTCCCATGTACAGAACAAAATGGACTGGAGCCCTCAGGTGATACAATGTCCTGAGTTCAAACCCCAGCCAAACAAACAAACAAACAAAAAAACCATATAAAGAGAAAACTCAAAGGTACAGGTGTGAATCAAGTGATACAACACATGACTAGAAAGTGTGATGCCTTGAGATAAAATTCTAGTACCATCAGAAAAAAAGAAAAATGAAAAAATTCCAGACTCAGGATGCTTCAACAATGAACATACTATCAAATATTTAACACGAATTTTACACAACTTCATCTAGAATATTAAAAAAAGAGAACATTTTTAGGAGGTCAACAATACATAGACATAAAAATAGACATTAGGCAAAAATCCCTCAAAAACACAGATTTAAAAATCTTCCACAAAATATTAATTAAATTCGGTAAGATATGCAGGGTGCGGTACCTCAAACTTGTAATCCTAGCTACTTGGGAGGTGAGGATTGAGAGGGTAATGATTTTAGGTGAGCCTTGGAAACAACAGTAAGACTCCACCTCAACCAACAAATAGTTAGGCACATGGGCATGCACCTATCCTCCCAGCTATGCAGGAAGAGTGCCTGCCTACTCTCTGAGTTCAAACCTAGAAATGCAATAAATAAACAAACAAACAAATAAATAAATAAATACCAGCAAAATACAAAAAGGATTTATACATTATTAACAACTGGGTCTATCCTGAAAAAGCACATTTCTGCACACTCTTTAAAAAAAATCAAGCTGAGTAAAGTAATGTATCCCTGTAGTCCCAGCTACAAGGGAGGATGAGGTGAGAGTATCAGTTGAACCCAGGAATTTGAGGCAAGTCTAGGCAAAAGAGAAAACAAGGACAAAAAACAAAACAAAACCCCAAACCAACATAATTTATCATATGAACATACTAAAGGAAAAAAAAACATTTTAACGTATACAGAAAAAGCATCCAAGAGTCATTCATGACTTTTACAACTTCTTAGCAAACTGGGAAGAACAATTTCAACCTGGTATAAAAGAATCTACAGGTTAGATGTTAAGATTGAGACAAAAGAAAAAAAGAAGAGCAACTTTTACCATTTCTACTCAGTTTCATATTGTAGGTAATAATTAGTATAATTAGTGAGGAAAAAGGTGTCGAGGCATGGCACAATCGTAGAAAAGTTATCTAGTACGTATGAGGCCCTGGATACAATCCCCAACACCAGGAAAAAAACAAAAAGCAAAGGGTGGGGGGGGGAGGAAAGGAATATGATTGGAAACGAAATAAAATTGTTTTTATTCTCTGAAAACATGGCTATACAGAAAAAAATCCCAAGTAAGCTATAATTGCCTAAATTTATATAGATTTTTTAATATAACCTGAATCAGAATCCAGCAGGATTCATGAGGTGATTTTGGAAAACAACATGAAAAAACAAGGAAATTATAAAGTAATCAAATCAATTCTAACAAGTACAAAGATGGAGAACCCACATCACCAGATTTTAAAATTTTTCTAAAGATACTGAAACAGTGTGGTTCTAGAAAATGAATATATACAAACATAAATACTGTATCAAAAAGAGCACAAGTAAACCAAAACAAATATAACCAATTGAGTTTTGACAGAAAATTATAAATTGAATTCAAGGAAAAACTGATACAATTCTCAATGAAAAATAGACAATGGAATATTCATAGGCAAAAAAATCACCAAGCCCCAATACAAAAGTTAACATATACATAAATGTAAATATAAGATTAAAATTTCAAGAAGAAAACAGAAAGAATAATTTGTATGATACTGGGAGAGAAAAATATTTTTTCTGATATAAGTGATAGAGTACCTACATAACATTAGACCTTGAATTCTAACCCCAATACTAGCTACTGGAGTTTGAAGTTAGCTGTTGCCTAACTTAATGGTATGGCAGAGACTTTCCTAAAGATACGTCAAACAAACAAAACACAAATGAAGACTTTTCTCGGGCCACAGCTTAATGCATCCATCCCCAGGGAATATATGGGGGATGTACAGGGTCAAGAGTCGTGGACATGCACTGCAAAAAAAAAAAAGTGGAACTGAGATATAGCTCAGGGTTCAGTGGCAGAGCACTTGAATAGCATGTGAGGTCCTGGGTTCAATCCCAATTCAGGAAAAAAAAATAACAGTAACACAGAGTGAATTCCCTGAGGTTTCACATGAATGAAAGCCTTTCCAATTGTACAACTTTTTCTGGACAAGACTATGCTAACACATATACCTAACAAAAGGAAAATTAAACAATGTAAATGTTTACTTGTCAAATGGTTTTTTTAATGCCATTCAAAAATCCCCCAATAACATATGCATAAATAGCTTGTTTTTAAGTTGGCACTTTCCAAATGCATGTATACAAATCTTCACTAAATACCCTTGGTATTGTAAATCTATTACTCTACCCTTATTTCCGTGTATATTTAAATACTCCAAGTAAGTTGAACTACTACAATAGTGTGTTTAAGTAGTTATATAGAGATCTTTCTCCACTAATTGTCAGGTACTTTATTACTGTTTTCTTTAATGATTATTATAAACATCTTTTTCATTTATATGTTAAATTTATAAACTACGCATTTTTCCTTGTGATTTTAATATTAAGTTAATTTTTAAAGAGTCATGAAATATAGAGATGATTTTAAACATCTTCAAATACATATTTAAAACAAATTTAAGTCCACTTGATCTTCAAGAATTAAATAACATAGGTGGCAATAGAAATTTTAACTTATAACTGATATTAACGGGCAATCTGAAATCTTCAAATATACCAAATGTTTTGTTAGCCATGGTAACACTGTCCAAACCTCATAGAAAGGTATTTTGTGTTTTGTTTTCATTGTTTTTTCAGTGGTCGAAGTCAAATCCAGGGCCTCACGCATTCCAGGCAATTCCTCTACCCCTAAACTACACTCACAGCACTCATTAAAAGATTTTATCAGAAAGTAATGTTGTACGTGAAAAAATGCTCACCATCCCTAGCAATAAAGGAAATGCAAATTAAAACCACACTAAGATTCCACCTCACCCCTGTTAGAATAGCCATCATCAGCAACACCACCAACAACAGGTGCTGGCGAGGATGCGGGGGAAAAAGGAACCCTCTTACACTGTTGGTGGGAATGTAGACTAGTACAACCACTCTGGAAAAAAATTTGGAGGCTTCTTAAAACTGTAAACATTGATCTACCATATGATCCAGCAATCCCACTCTTGGGGATATATCCAAAAGAATGTGACTCAGGTTACTCCAGAGGCACCTGCACACCCATGTTTATTGCAGCACTATTCACAATAGCCAAGCTATGTAAACAGCCAAGATGCCCCACTACTGACGAATGGATTAAGAAAATGTGGTATTTATAAACAATGGAATTTTATGCAGCCATGAAGAAGAATGAAATGTTATCATTCGCAGGTAAATGGATGGAACTGGAGAACATCATTCTGAATGAGGTTAGCCTGGCCCAAAAGACCAAAAACCGTATGTTCTCCCTCATATGCGGACATTAGATCAAGGACAAACACAAGGTGATTGGACTTTGATCACATGATAAATCGAGAGCACACAAGGGAGATATGGGGATAGGTAAGACACCTAAAAAACTAGATAGCATTTGTTGCCCTCAACACAGAGAAACTAATGCAGATACTTTAAAGCTACTGAGGCCAATAGAAGAAGGGGACCAGGAACTAGAGAAAAGGTTAGTTTGAGAAGAATTAACTTAGAAGGTAACACACATACACAGGAAAGCAATGCAAGTCAACTCCCCGTATAGGTATCCTTATCTCAACTAGCAAAAACCCTTGGTCCTTCCTATTATTGCTTATACTCTCTCTGCAACAAAATTATAGAGATAAGGGCAAAATAGTTTCTGCCTGGTAGCGAGGGGTTAGGGGGGCTAAGGAAGGGGGCGGGGGGGGGGAATGGGGGAGAAATGACCCAAACATTGTACGCACATATGAAAAAAAAAAAGAAAGTAATGTTGTAGACTTGAGTTCAAACCTCAATCCCACCAAAAAAATTTTAAAAATAAAGTATGCTGGATTTTATGAAATGTCCTACGTAATGGGTGACAGTGACTCATTAATATGACATACTAAAGCAGTCATGCATTTTAAGAATAAATGCATTCTGGCACATATTTATTCTTTTAACATATTGCATGATTTTGTTAACAAATAGATTTAACATCCCTATGTGATATTAATATATTATCTTTTCTAAACTACCCCTTTTAGTTTTTTAAATTATAAATAAAAGCCCCTAAAAAATTTTACCTAGAAGGATTATAATAATTAATCTATGAAACCTTTAAAAGCAAACAGTTTTAATGCACTGATTCCTCTCTCATTACTTGGGAGCTTTAAAGGGTCACAATGAAATGAAATGGAAATGATCAGTAAACCCTTCTCTCCACCCCTTTTATACCTGATCTCCTGCCTATCTGTCCCCCAAAAATCTCTAACAAACGTTTAAGTATTTTTGGAAGATTACGTGTTACTTTTATATCAGGACATGAGAGTACACTGAAACTTACCTTTCTGTTGAAAGAATATGAATTAGCTTGAGCAAAAATTCACTGAATATTTGAGGACATGTTGAAGATAGATGCACTTGTAATCTAGTAAGAAATTCTTGCATAGCTTGTGTAGCTGTGGGACCAACCTGAAGAGAAATGTACATCCACTGAAAAGTGCTTACTGATATCAACTACTCAATCATTCATTTCTAAAATATCAAGTATAAAAGCCAAAAGCTGTAATTTTTACATGAAGAAGAACAAAAGTATTAACAGTGACAGAAGGAAGCCAAATACCTACTTAGGAATTCATATATTTGTATGTGTATGAACTACAAACTATTCTATTAACAGTAACATTTAATTTTGACTTATATATAGCTAATAATGTACATTAGGTTTATTTAACTCAATACAAAAGATTTACCTGAATTACAAAAGAAGTATCTTTACAACACTTTCCAAACTACAAACAATTATCTCATTTTTTAACAAAAGAACTCAGACTCAGAGAAGTTAAGTAATCCACAAAGGGTCATGTCTCTAACACCTAGCAAAATACTAAAGAGAATGGGGAAAAAAGCAAAAACTTAAGTTAAAAATAAGTCTATACCAAGTCACAAAAACCCTTCTAAAACTTTCATCTTTCAATGAATGAAATGATAGTGAACACCACACTAGGTAACCTTCACTATGATTTAGAATGTTTTGAGCACTTTCACATTATACTTTATTTGATCCTGATTTGGTTTGATAGACAAATCATAATTGAAACTATGGAGTTTTATAAAAACAAAATGCAATACAATCCTCCAAACCATTTTAGAATTAAACAAGATTAACTGCTAATACTGGGCAAATAAATCATGGTACTGTTAACTGAATATCCTATATAATACCAAGATATCAGAAGGAAAGCTTTTTACTCCAACTTTCAGGTTAAAATAGAAGAGATGAAAAATATTTAATCAGGGACTTGTACCCTGCTACCTAACTCTACCACTAAGCAGAATATTTTGAGGTAAGGCAGCTGATGAATATTCTCACATGTAGTCTCATAAAGTTGGAATAAGTGGTCCCAGATGTCTTCTGGGTTCAAACTCAATCTTTATACAGTGATCACTTGGTAACATGCTTCTGCTCTCACCAAAACCCAATCCCAATCTTCACTTCAGGTAATTTCTTTACTTTTTTTTTTTGGGTTGGGGGGGACAGTTGGGGAGGGACAGTACTTGGTAGGCAGGTACTCAATCATCTGAGTTATGTCCCTAGTCCAGTACTTTCTTCTCTTTTCTGTTTACTCACTTATTAATTATCTACCAAACAAAGTACTCAATAGCAGAATATTCACGAAAAGTATTCACCAGAACTGAAAGTCTGTATTTTATTATCATGTATAACATAAAGTATATTCAACATCAGATTACTCACTAAAAGTATCCTCCAGAATTTAAAGTGTACTAAGACAGAGATTAGTCTTGGTAGTATTTGTTTCTGTAGAACTGAGAACACTACACAGCCTTAGCAAATAGAAGCCTATTAAAGACAATGAATGAAAGAAATAATAGAAGGAATGACATCATTATGAACTATAAAATTAAATCAGAACCTGTTTAATGGCAAACCAATAATTTTAAAAAACAATAAAAAATGATGACTTGCAAAAAATCTTTTAAATCTCTCTATAAAAGATTATGAACACTAAATATTTAATATAAAAGTACAATGCAATATTTAAATAAAAGCAGTACTACATAAGAAATTAAGTTGATACAAAGGAAATCTACAGTTAGATGGAAAATGCTTATGTCCCGAAAAATACTGTTATTGTTATTTATGTATTAATATCATGAAATTATTAATGAATTATAAAAATTTTAATGAGGTCATCAAAAATGATAGATTATTTATTTTGTGATACTGGGGTTTGAGCTCAGGGCCTACACCATGAACCACTCCACCAGACCTTTTTTAGGGTTTGTGTTATGGATTTTTTCAAGATAAGTCTCACAAACTATTAGCTGGGGCTGGCTTTGAACTGAGATCCTCCTGATCCTTGCCTCCTAAGTAGCTAGAATTATAGGTATGAGCCTGTAAAATAGTCCGGCTATTTAAAATTTTTTAATTCTAAAAATTGTAAATACATTTATACTAAATGTATGGATCACTTCTTAAACTACCCAAAATCAATGCCAAAAATATACATCTAAATAAAAAACTTGTTTTACAAGATAACTTGCCACTCTTTTCACTTTAAGCCTACTTTATAATATAGAACTAATTACATTGATCCATAAAAATGACTAATAATTTAGCAACAAAACTTTTACATAGTTTTACTTTACCAATACTGTTTCTGAAAGTTCTGAGAACATCATACTAGTTACAAGTTGTATTACCTGTGGACTGTGTTGATTTGTTCCATGTGGACTGGTACCAGAAAGAAATTTTACTAACACATGAATGAGGTTTGGATCTGAAACCAACAAATGAGCAGTACTCTCCTGAGTTCCAATGGCACTGCTGGAACCAGCTAAAGAAACAAACAAACAAACCCTTAACATAAGGACCACAAATAGTGAAATGCAGCATGTATGAAATTTTTTTTTAAATTCACAGAACTAGGGTTTGAACTCACGGCTTTGCACTCGTGAGGTAGGTGCTCTGCCACTTATGCTGTACCTCCAGGCCTATAAACATCCTTCAGTTCATTGGAAAACTCACATATTCCCAGTAATGACAGTATGTTAGAAGAGTACAATCTCTAGTCAACTGGCAGTTCTGCACCTTCTTCTCTATTTTAATCCAGTACATATGTCCTCCTGCCTCTCTTCTGATTATGAAAACACCTGAGTTTAATGTGTATCTTGTTTAATATACAATCAATTGGAAAATAAAAAAATAAATCCTTACAGTACGATTAGAAAGCCTATTCTTAGTAACTATCTCCCATTCCAGAAATGGAAAATCAGTTTTGTAGCATCAAATGAGGGAAAAACTATTACTATTTGGCACAGTAGTCATATACAGGTTATTTATATTCTGTGAATTAATGTATAGGCAACACATCAGTTGTCTAAGCTGATTAAAACACTGATTAAATCTAACTTCAGTACAAACAGTGATGGTTTTGATCCCATTTCTAGAATATGTACTCTAAAGAAGAAAACTGAATAGCACATTGATGCTAAGCAATGATGTGAATAACACCTTTATAAAGTGAAAGAACTTTCCATTGAGTGAAGTTATTCTCAAACTGACTTAGAATCCATCCAGCTATTATTATGACATACAGCTGAGTAACACAGAATTCAAAAGAATTCAATTAACTTATAAAACTCTATCCTTTCTTGGGAAAATCTACTGTACGATTCTGATAGCAAGTATTTTGAAGTACATGACAGATTTCAATGAATGAATTTTGGACTTACAATTAAGCTGCATGTTCGTCATGAGTGTTAGGCTATGTAGCACAAGGCACCATGTCCGGAGCAATGTGTTGGGATGCCAAGCTAGCACTGTGAGGAAGCTAGTTATTGATGCTACACAGAAAAGAGAAAAGAAAAGGTTCTTATTTAAAAAAAAATGAACAGTTTCTAAAACATAAAAGACAACAACAACAACAAAGAATTCAAAAGTAAGACATTGTTTAAATTAGCTCACTAACTACTCTCCTAAACATACAAATGGAAAGACTTTCCCATTAAATGTAACTAAAGCACTAGGGGTCAGTAACAATTTATGGCAAGGTTTAAAGCTCAGCCCATGATGCATAAAAGTCTGTTATCATTACAGACTTGTTGTACTTCCCATTCGATACAATTTGTGTGCTACTAAAATTTCTTACATTCTACAAAACAAAAAACTGAAATAGGAAAACAGTGAAAAACTGGGATGGGTTAGGACAATCAAAGTGAATGTAACTTCAACAAAAGTTCAAACTCAAAAATAAATAGGTTAAGTTGAACGGGCCTGATAGAAAGAACTCCTGGCTATAAAAAAGCCAAAGAAGTTACTCAAACTGCAGTGTGAACATTACATAGCAGAGTCCGCAAAATACACAGTGCCCAGACTGTACTTTAAAGCATCTTTTAAATGTTTGATTCCAAATATAATGCAGGAAACAAAGAAATTAAAAAATAAACAAATCTCTGCATCTTAAAATCCAAAAACAAAAAGGAGCACCTGACCGCAAACAGTACAATTTCAGTACCAAGTTTAACAATTAGAACCAAGAAAAAAAAGGTTTTAAATCTAGGAACTTACACAAGTACTTAACTAAAAAAAACAACAAAAACCCTAATTGGTCATGACTGTAGATGGCTTGTGAACCTACTCATCTTGAAAACTAATTTTTAAAAATTAAAGTTACAGAAATTTTTTCTCTGATACAACCTACCACAAGGTAACAGAAGTAATTTAGCTCAAAAATGCAACAGAAATGAGAAATAAACTATCAGCCTTTTGAATCTCTAATTAATTGTTACTAAGCCTAGGCATTGTGCATCACTGTCAATGTTATGAAAAACAGACAACTCATGTAACTGCATAAAAAAAAAAAAAAAAAAAAAAAACACACAAAGAAAGCCAGACTGGTGCATACCCAAAATCCCAGCGCATGGGAGGTTGATGCAAAAGGATCACAAGTTGAAGGCCCAACAAATAAAACAAAGAAATTAAAACACCCAGATCAGCTTCAGGTTCCTGTATAAGAGGCCTAAAGTGACCTGTAAAATGGTTTGCTACTCTCTTGATCCAGAAAGCCCCCCCACAAAATCATGCAAATCAAGAGGTTCAACATGTTGAATTTTAGAAGCAACCTTGAAACTGCCCAGGACATTCATGGTTTCAGTACTCAAAAAGTAAAGAATTATCTGATAGATGTTACTTTCAAGAAGCAATGCATACCATTACAATGGTGGAGTTGATAAGGGCACCCAGGCCAAATAGTGGGGGTGGTCAGAAAGTCAACTTGTCTAAAGAGTACAGAATTTTTGCTGCATAAGCAAAAAAAAAAAACAAAAAACAAATGCAGAGAATAATTCCTAACTAGAGGGTCTAGATGCAGATTCTCTATCTATTTTACATATCCAGGTGAACTAAGCACCTAAGATATATGCTGTACTTACAGAATTAACCTGAACATGAGCTTCCTGCCATACTGAGATGATCCTACTGAAAAGAAACAAATTGTTCCTGAACCAGAAGAGGAGATTGAACAGAAGAAAAAGATTTCCCAGACAAAAGAAAAGTTTTATCTCAAAACTTCAGGGGCATAAATTAAGCACAAAATAAAGTAAAAAGAAGAAAAAAACCCCAGTCAGTCAAACTCTAGGATGTTAACTATCAACTACAGGAAACCCTCAGGACATCAAGATATATGCTTAGGAAACCTGGAAACCAAACCACCAAACTTCTCTAACAAATGACTTTGTGAAGTGTACAAAAAATTAGAAAGAGGAGACCAGCCACAGTAGGTTCAAGACTATAATCTAGCTACTAGAAATGCCGAGATCAGGAAGATCATGGTTCAAGGTATACCTAGGCAAAAAGTTCATGAGACCCCATCCCAACCAATGACTACGCATGAAACTATCATCCTAGCTACACTGGAAAATATAAGGCTTTTGGTTCAGGTTAATACGGGCATATAGCTAGACTCTATCTGAAAAATAACCAACACAAAAAGGGCTGTTGTCATGGTTCAGGTGGTAGAATGCCTACTTGGCAAGCATGAGGCTTTGAGTACAACCCCCAATGTTATAAAAACCAAAACAATCAAGGAAAATTCCACAAACCAACTTCTCTCAAAAACTGACATCCTTTCCAGCTGATCAATTCTCCTCAGGGGTAATTCCTATTTCACAAATGAACAGATTACAATGGATTTAACCAATTAATTCAAATCTACATACCTTATATGGATTTCAAATAAAAATGTTTTCATAACAATTGGAACAACTAGAAATAAGAGGACTGACCAAGTATCTAATGATAGCAAGTAGTATTTTTTCACACTTCAATTTTTGTGCGTTTAGTATTTTTCAAAATAACAAAGTTAAAAAGAGATGGAAGCAAATTTCACAGTAAAAATTATTAATATCATGGAAGAGATGGAAATCTACTATTAACGCAGGTGCTGAGACAAAGCAGCTGTACTATACTTGATCTCATCCAAAAAGCTGAGAAGGAATTGGAAAACAAAGTAGATGTAAGTGGAAACATGAGCCAGTGGGCTATCACTTTTAAGACTGGCAGACAGACCAACTAAGAGATGAGCAAGACATGGGATATACCACTTTTGGGTGAAAACTATAGAAAAAAAGGTACGCATTTCTATTTTTCTTAAAATAGAAACAGATTCCTATGGCCTGAGCCGAAGGCTTTCCCTGTTGAAAATATTATTTTACTCTACCACTTCACACTGTGCTTTGTAAAATATAAGTAAACAGATACAACTTCTCCAGAAAATTGACATCCCTTAATGATCAATTTCCCCAGTGAAATTTCTAAACATTTCACAAATAAAAAACATATGTGTTACAACAGAATACACTTGAGCAAGACAAAATGTTAAAGAAATACAAAATAAGGATTAAGAGAATATTATAAATCTTAGTCATACACAAGCGAAAGATGAATCAGACAAGAGAATGAACACATTCTGTCCTCCTGAATTAGTAAGTCAGTGCATTTTAAAAAGAAAAAGTTATTTTCACTGAACTATTTTAACCTTAATGATGGATATTATTTTAACCTAATTATTAGTGTATGTAAAAATTATTTATATTACATAAGTGGTTTTCTTGCCTACCTTGATTTAATGAAATAACAGGTATTCGATTAGCATTATATAAAAAAATGTCTGCTCCGTTCTCTTTGCTTCCAGATGAACTAGAATTCAGGCTCAGTGTGAGCCACAATTGGAGAAGTGATTCCAACTGAAAAAGAATAAAATTTTGTTAAAGTTGTACTTTGCAAAATAAAACTTTAGCAACCCTTAAAAAAAAAAAAGGGTAAAATATGGGGGGGTGCCTATTATATCAAAAAGTACCATTTAAACGAAAATTTTAACTTTATAACCTTTTCATGAGTCCTGTAAAGTACTCCCTCCAGTTACCTCAACTCAGTTGACAAGCAAAAATGTCTTAATATTCTTGATGCAAAATTTAATTGAATTAAACTTTGACATTTATGTCAATGTTTTCCTAAATAAATAAAAACAGGTGATTCAAGTCTTTAAATCAGAGTTTATATGTAATATGTAGTATAAACTAAAATACTAATAAATCCTAAAATCATAAAAGTCAAAACTGACTCATCACCAAAGAGATACAATTATTAAAGCATTTTCTAAATTTTCCAAACAGAGTATAATAAAAAATCAACTGTCAGGCTTTTAGTAGACTAGCAACAATATGCTAAAATACACCATTTTCTCTGAAAGTCATACCTGAACATGATGGACTTGGAGCATGGAAAAAAGTTTGTTGAAACAAACATTTAACATTGGGACAGATGATAACTGTATAATAAGCTGGCTGGATGGGTTTGCTGCTTGTAAGCCCCCTAGAAGTGCATCATCTGTTCCAGTTGGAGACTGTGACACTGAAAACCAAACACAAGTATGACTTATACACAAAGAAGAATGTCACTGGAATTTTGATGACAATTTCATTGAATGTGAAATGATATTGGAGATTATGGCTATTTTCACAATATTAACTCAGCCAATACAAAAACATGGATGTCTTTCCATCTTCTTGTGTCTTCTTCAATTTCTTTCTTTAGTGTTTTACAATTTTCACTAAAGAGATCTTTCACATATTCCAAAGTATTTTACTTTTTGTGGGGTTATGGTGAATGACATTGTTTTCCTGACTTCTTTCTCAGCATGCTTGTTATTGACATATAGAAAAGCTACTTATTTTTGCATGATGATTTTTGTACCTTGCTTCTTTGCTGAAAGTGTCTATCATATCTAAGAGTTTCGTGGTGGAGTCTGTAGGATCTTGTAAGTACAGATATATGATCCTACTTGTATCACTCTTATTTCTCTCTTCCCCTACTGCCTAGATAAGAGTTCAAGCACTGATTATACAAGAGTGGAAAGAGTACAGTCTCCGTCTTGTTCCTGATTTTAGAAGAAGTGCTCTCAATTTTTCCAAATTTAGCACAATGTTAGCAATAGATTTGTCTTACATAGCCTTTATTAAGTTGAGGTATATTCCTTCTATTTGATACCTTCTATTTGTAGTTTCTTCAGTGATGTTGAATTTTGTGAAAAGCTTTTTCTTCATCTACTGAGATGATCATGTGACTGTTGTCCATGGTTCTACTTATGTTCTATAATGTGTTTATTGATTTGCACATGTTGAATCAGCCAGTCATACCCGGAATGAGACCAACATGGTCACAGTGTATGATCTTTTTAATGTGTTGCTCAATTCAATTTACAAGTACATTTCTGAGGATTTCTGCATCTGTGTTCATCAAGGACATTAGTCTATAGTTTTTTTCATTTCACTGGGTCCTTATCCAGTTTTGGTATCAGGGTACTATTGGATTTGTAGAATGAACTGGGTAACAGTCCTTCCCTTTCTGTTTCACAGAACACTTTGAAAGGCATTAATGTTATTTCCTCTTAAAGGTCTAGTAGAATATGGCAGTGATCCAGTCCAGTCCAGGGCTTTTCTTGGTTCAGACAATTTTATCTTACTGCTTTATGATTCACGATAGAGCTATTTAAGTTGATTGTATCTTCTTTGTTCAATTTTGGTGAATTATATGTATCTAGAAACTTATCCATGCCTTCTAGATTTTCCAATTTATTGAAATAAAAGTCTTCAAAATATTACCTAATGATCCTCTGGATCTGTTTTGCATCTATAGTTCATTAATTTGGGTCCTTTTTTATCTTTCTTTTGGTTAACTAAAGGCACATCAATCTTCTTCATCTTTTCAAAGAACCAAACTCTCTGTTTAGATACATTACTTTAGTCTCAATTTCATTCATTTCCACATGCCCTCATCTTAAGTATTTTTTGTCATCTATTAATTTGGGGTTTGGTTTCTTCTTATTTTTAAGAACCTCAGATGAATCACTAGGTTATTTAATCGAGAACTTTCGGGTTTTTAATGTAGAACTTACAGCTATAAACTTCCTTTATAGAACTGCCTTTGCTAAATCCCAAAGGTTCTGGGAAGTAGTGTTTTCATTTTTATCTGATTTCAGGAATGTTTTCATTTCCTCCCTTATTTCTTCAATGACCCCCCTGATCATTTAAAACTGTATTGTATGAAATGTATGTTTTTGTATAGTTTCTGAAGTTTCTCTTGATGTTGATTTTCAGTTTTACTGTATTACCTTCTAACAAGACACAAGAATTCTTTCTTTTTTTTGTTAACACTTGTTTTATGGTCTAAAAAGGGATCTATTTTAAAGAAAGTTCCATGGGCTTCTGAGAGGACTCTGTATTCTGTATTTGTTGAATGGAGTATCCTGTAAATGTCTGTTGAGTCCATTTGATCCGTGGTGTGGTTTATCTCTGAAGTTTCTTGACTGATTTTTGCTCTGGCTGATCTATCAAGGCAAGTTCGCAATTTACGTCAACCACTATTATTGTATCTGAGTCTATCTGTTCTTTATGTCCAGTAGGGTTTGTTTCATGAAATTACATGAATCATGATTTTAGTGAGTATGTATTCACAATCATTATATCTTTCTGACGGATTTTTTTCCTTTATTAAGCTCACATAGTGAGTTTATTTACCTCTTCTGACTAATGTCAACTTGAAATCCACTTTGAAAGATAAGGAATATAGTTAACTGTGCTTGCTTTTATCTTTCACCTGCTTGGTAAGTAGTGTTCAGTTCTTTTAATCAGTGTGCATCTGAATCAATGAGATGTGTGTCTTGCATACAACAAAGAGTTGACTTTTATTTTTTAAATCCAATCAGCCAGTTTGTGTCTTTTAATTGGAGAGTTATGACCACTTACATTTAGGGTTACAATTGAAAGTTACTTGCTGCTTCCTGTAATTTCCTTTTTTCCTGGTTGATTAAGACTGTTTGTTCTTTATTTTCCCCTTACTTGCCTTAGAAGTTTCCTGGTTTACTGAATTGAATATGTTTATTTGCCAATTTTCATTTGCTCATCTATTTCCCTCATGAATTTATTCCTTCCCAAGCTCCTGTGTATGTAAGTGACTTTCACCTTGTGTAGGCTTCCCCTAAGAATCTTCTACAATGCTGGCTCCGTAGTCATGAATTCGTTTGGTTTGTGTTTATCCTCAAAGGTTTTTATTCTCAATTATGGTCAAAGAGTAACATTTCCAGGAGATAACAATCTTGATTGGCAATTATTTACTCTCAAGGGCTTAAAATGTATCATGCCAGGCCTTCCTGGATTTTAGGGTTTCTGCAGGGAAGTCTGACATAATTTGAATGAGTTTGCTTTTTTGTAAGTTAGCTTTTTTTTCATGCAGCTTTCAATATTCTTTGTTTATTTTCTTGGTATTTTAACTATAATGTGATATGGAGAGGTTCTTTTCTGTTTAAGTTTATTGGGGTTCTAAGTGCCTCCTATACTTGGATGTTCCTATTTTCCCTAGATTAGGGAAATTTTCTTTTATACTTTCATTGAGTAGGTTTTTTATGCCTTTACTTTGCATTTCAGCTTCTTCTACCCCATGGACTGAGGTTTAGTCAATTCATCATCTCCCAGAGATCATGAAAGTTACAGTCATACTAGCTTGTTTGCTTTTTTTTCTCTTATTGATGTCTGAATGTAATACTTACCAAAGTTATTAACTTTGAAAGGAAATACACGGCCTTGCTTTTTCATATTTCTAGTGGTTTTACAAGTGCAATTTGCCCCACAGAGTTCAGGCTGCAGCTCTGCCAATGTTCTCACTCTCTACGTTCCTTTGTGGCACAAGTCATATCTTATACTTGACACTGAAATAAATCTATGTCTTTGAATCTGAGTCTAAGTTGAAAACAGTTTCCTGAATCCACATTGATTCTTGGGGGTGGTTGGTTGCTTAGCCACAGAATTCCTTTGGGACTTAAAGATGTAAAAATGCAGTATATTCTCCTAGACTATTCTACTAGGCTAAGAAGTTTGATTATAAACCTCTACTAAGTTAATTCCATATCACCAGATCAGTGAGTAAGGTAGAAAGTGCAGGGGGACCATTCTCCAGTGTCTGCATCCCATCTAGACTGGACAAATACAAATTTGAGAAGCAAAGGGCTTTTTCTATAGGTAGTGAATTTTAGAAAGGGAAGTCCAAGAAGGCTGTATGTCAATCCACACCTGAAGTCTGAGAGTCAACTAATTCTTGATTTCTCAACAGAATTGAAAGGACAGTTTCCAAATGTTCTAAGACCCAGTATACAGGTCAAAAAAATTGAATGAGAATATATTTATGAGGAGCAGAGACACATAGGAACATTAAGAAAGGGTTTTCATATAGTTATGAAAGATACACACCTATGCACAATACAGATTCTAATTTTAAAAAGATCTTCTAACAAGCAACATCAAACAATGAAAAAGGGTACTCTGTGGAGTACTGAGTCATCTGTGTTCATGCAGAGGCTGGACCTGACAAGATTCCCACATTACAGAGGAGATAAGATACAACTAGATTTTGATCTTTAGTGTACTAACACTAAGATAAAAGGATGCCTTCAAGGGCATTCTCCTTTTTAAAACACTTTCTGTAGGCAAGAAATATATGCAGATTGCACAGTACAAGAATATAAATTAATGTAAGTAAGACTTAAAATCACAAAACTCTCTATTGAAATGAGTGTGAATTGTCCCTTAAAGGAGAAGCAGATGATCTTCCAGGTTTCTATCTGCTATCTCCAGTCCTTTACTCACTAAGATTCAATGAAGGTAAAGTGATTTGAAGGACTAAAGAAAAGAAAACCACTACTGGGTATCTGTATCTGTCAGCTCTACGAAAACATCAGCCTACCTCTTCTGTAGCTAATTAGGTAGTATGTCCATACAATTCTGGGGTTTAGTCAGCAGGCCATTTGGCTATCATCTACCGTATACCTTCCCTACTAGTTGTTTAGGACCATAAAGATCTTATTCATGAAAAACTAACTTTAAGGACTGGGGAGTGGCTCAAGTGGTAGCGTGCCTGCCTAGCAAGTGTGAGGGTCTTGAGTTCAAACCCCAATACCATCAAAAAAAAAAAAAAGAAAAATTCCCTAGGAAGGGAATTTTTTCCCTAGGAAGGGAATCATTAACACCACAAAAGCACAGTAACAAAAATAAGCTTGAGCTCTTCCTCTTCTCTATTAGTTAATACTCTGTATTATTTCTCAACACGTTAAGAATTTGGACTTGCTGCAGTGCTATGTACTAGGTTCTGTCACATTCACGCAAGACATAGAATTTTAAAATAGTCCTTCCAAAAGCCCAGAAAAATATGTGAGAGACAAATCGTTCATTGCAATATCCTAAAAATGGTCATTTTCCTTACAGGTAGGAGAAGTATTTGTTAATGCTTGTAAAATGGAATCTGCTTCAAGAGTAGACATCATTTTCAACATAAGTTCTGCTTGCTGTTCAAGTCCAACTTCCAGGCGAGCATCTAGGGCTACAAAAAAGAAATAAGAGGGAAAAAAAAAGTAAGTTATTAGCATTATTATTCTTATTACACTTGCTAAAATAAATGCCAACATTCACACACAAGGAAGGTTGGAGTGTACCCATATAGACTATAGTCTGATAGGAGGAATCAGAGCTAGAGCATGGAGAACATCTGTTCAAAGGAGGTTTAAAGAAAGAAACTGATGACACAAACAGATGGATTAAATAAATGAATTAATGGCAATGGAAGTAAATGAAAGATTTCCCAATCAGAAAAAAATATATATATAGCTGGGGGCGGGGCTCAAGCAAAAGAGCATCTGCCTATCAAGTGCAAGGCCCTAAAGAAGATGTGTAAAAGTCAAAAATGAGAAAAATAAAGTAAAATGTACAAAACTGTATTATTTCAGATATATCAATGTGAACTCACTCCAATTCAATATATAGATAGATGTGTGTACACACACCCACACCCTAGCTTTGTCCAAAAAGAAGGCATGCAAACAACCACTGAAATAGAACAAGTATGTCTAACATCAAAATCTTAACCGTATTCTTCATTTATAAACTGTTGAAATACCACACTACTTATAACAAGGGACTAATCATAGACTGGGACAAGTACAGTAAATGTTGAGTCTGGGCCACCATGTTTTGCCTGAGAACAAAAAAACTGCTCAAAGAATGATGAACAAGAGACCAAATTAAAGGAGATCATACAACTCTAAGGCAATTTGAGTATCAAATTAAATAGACACAACTTCTTGACTGTACTTAGTGACAGTCAACTACTAATTAAAAGATGGCAAAAATAATAAATTTCTTAAGAATAGAAAATCACTGGTTCACACAAATGAATAAACAAACCAATTAAAACGGAGGGAAAAAAAGAGACAGACAGATTTGGTGAGGAACAATGTTACATTGAAGAAAAATGGCACACATCTTAAACAAGTAAAAAAACTTACCACCGTGGAGAGCTTATTATGAAAAGCCTATGAGAACTGGACATAAGCAAGGTGAGATGTGGCTTAACTGCTTTTACCTGTAGGCCGAGACAGGCACAGCCTTGGCCATAAAACAGAAAAAAGCAGAACAGCTGCATCTTTTACATTGCCTTCAGAGAGCAAGGAACGAAGTTTCTCCTGTTACAATGTCATGTCCCCCACCCTGTTTGCCACAGTTTATAAAAGGCCCGCTGAAGGAGGGCTGGGGCTTTTGCTTTTTGCCTTTGGCTTTTGCTTTGGAAGGCTTTTTAGGCTTGGTTTTGGGGGGCCTTGGCTTGATTCTTTTGTTCTGGGCTTTCTGGTGTGGGAAACTTTTGGAGGGGAAAAAAAAAGAATTACTGAAGAGAAAAGAACTGCTAAAGGTAAACTGCTGAAGGGAAAAGAATGGCTAAAGAGGGGTTGTAGAAAGTCTGCACCAAGAACTTTAACATAGGCCTTAGAAAGCTAAGCCAAAGAAAGAACTTTAACATAGGCTTCAAAAGCAAAAGAAAAGCCAAAGAGAACATGGGACAATGCAAGATAGAAAACCTGAGACTTTACAAGGAGACTTTGCAAGTCTGAGCACTGAGGCTTTAAGAAAGCTAAAGAGAGAATGCTAAAGAAAACCTGCAAGCCTGGGGTCAAAAGACTTAAAGAGTGATTAGGCTAAAGATAAGCTAAGAGAAAACATGGGACAATGCAAGTCTCAGGAAAGAGGTTTTAAGCAAGGTTTTAAAGAAGACTTTAGACTTTAGGTTTTAAAGAGCTGCAAGGAGTAAGGCCTTAAACAATAAAGATAGAGAAAAGAAGCAATGAGGGTTGGGCATCTCCACCAGAGCACCCAACACACCTGACCCTACTTTCTGTCTATCCTATGTCTTTTCTGAATCTCCAGTTGCCCCCAGTTAAGCCCAGTTAGGTTCAGTAATAACCAGGAGTGAGAGAAATGGCTCACTCCAACAAGGGAGGGAGCGTAAAAACAGCACCCCATCCAACCACCATCAGTAGAAAACTGCAGACCACTAATAGTATGTAGTAAGGAAAACTGACCATTATTTCTGTAATATTTCTACCAACATGCATGATCTTAATTTAAGTCAGGAGGAAATAGAGTACCAACCCAAACTGAGGGGTACAATATCAAATGATTGTCCCACTATTGTCAAAAGCATCAAGGCCATGAAAGTCAACACTGAGAAACTACTGCATGCTGAACGAGGTAAGAGGTATGACAACTAAATGCAATGCATGATTTTGCACGGAGTCCTAGTACATAAAGGACATTATTTGGACAACTGCTAAAATTTGGAAAGCGCTCAGTGTAAGATAATAGCAATATCAATTTCCTGATTTTGATAAAAATATGCTTCTTGCTAGAAAATGTCCACTTTTATAAATCAAACAAAAACGTAACATCAGATTAGTAACATTCTCAAGTGGTTCAGAACAACATTTACTAAATAAAATTGTCACATTTCACTCAATACATAATTGTTTCAAATTTTAGAGTATTTTATTACAATTAAAAGTCAAATATATTCTACACATCTAGAAAAGCGAATGAGCCATATTCTACGTCTTTTCCTTCTTTCTATAAAGAAAAAGTTAATAAAAAGATATGAAATTAAGACAAAGCACAACTAAAGAGAATCACTGACAATCCCACCACAACACACAAATGCTTTCCATAAGTATCATTTTGAGAAAGAAATAAACTTGGACCATCAAGAATGGAAGCCCGGACTGGTGGAGTGGCTCAAGTGGTAGAGTGCCGTCTAGGAAGCATGAGGCCCAGAGTGCAAATCCCAGTACCACCAAAAATAAAAAAAAAAAAAAAAAGAAGTTCCTCCAAACATAGTGGAAAAGCACAGCTCTAAACGGCACTCATGGCACAATCCTTGCAGTAAAACCACCCAGGATATACACACATCAGGTCACTTTCTACAAAGTAGACATAAATTTAGATTTTTTGTTTGGCTCATTTGATTTTGAGATAGGGTCTCACCTTGCAGCCCAGACTGGCTGGGAACTCATCACCTCTGCCCACTACATACTGAGATTACAGCCATGCTCCACAACAACAAGCATTGGGACTTGTTTATGAAAACAGCACAAGCCTTAAAACATTCATGCACACACTTACCCTGAGACACTGAGACACTAACTGTCTGTGATCCATTCTTTTCTGTGCTTGCTGGTGGTTTTGCTGTAGGAATTCCCAGACCTCCAATGTAAGGATTGTAATTGTAGGTACCATAATCAGCACCCCAATAATCATACCATGTACTGCTTATTGGCTTAAAAGAATGGAAAAAGAAATTGTGGTTAATTTTTTTTCCTTTACTGAGTGATATATATTTACATTTTTTTAACCCACAGAGAACTACATAATAAACATTTTCCCTACCCTTTAAAGTCTCACAACTCATTCATGTATTTTTTAAAAGTCTTACAAGAATAACTTGGTAATATTCTCTTCAATTTTTTAAATCTAAAAATATCTTTTTTGCTTAGAAACTTTTATTAATATTTTTAATAAAATTAATGCAGCAAAAGAAAAGTGACGGTAAAAAGTATTATAGGTATAACTTCACTAGAAAAGGTAGAGGCTACCACAGAAGCAGAGTCTATACGTGCTCAGTTTGGATGGATATAAATGGCCACTTCAACTAAACTTCCACAAGATTATTAGGGGTTTTTATTACTATGATTACTACTGGATATATCACTCAAAATATATATAAGCTTTATATATATTTATAAGCTCAAAATATATAAGCTTTCTTTATATTATTACATTTTTTTTAACTATAGCTACCTATACAATGTATTTTGAGTATATCAAATACTGTATTTGAGAAATATGCATAGTCTCCTCTTTTAATTACTAGGCCAAAATTATGAGATAGAAGACTTCACTTGCTAACAATATTCTAATGTAGCATACCTTAAATACTTTGGCTGCAAGAGGATCCTTTTCCAAATCAATGTCTAAAGGATCAATGTCAACTTCCATTAGATCTTGAAGCAGCTCAAGGTCAATTTCTTTATCTTTTTCCAAAGAGGAGAGAGGAGGTGTACCTTCAAATAATTGAAAATGATCTTACTGGTACAGTGTATGACATGAAATTTAAATGATTTATTGCTTTCAATAAAAACTATTTTATTAGCATAACATATATATGCCTGATTTAAAAATCTCTAAATTACTCTCTCAAAAACTTTTAATCAGTATCAAAATGTATCCCTCTATAACACACAATCAAAATAACAATGCAGTACTTGATTTCCGAATGAATAGACCACAGTATTAGTGGTTACTGAATTAGGTGGCATAAATTTTACTCTCCAAATTATTATTAACATTTCTAGAATAAGCAATATTATTACTTGTTATATAACATCCATTATTCATTTTACAGTATTTTGCTCATTACAATTAATGTTATCCAGTATAAACAGAAAAGCAAAGAAGGTTTATAAGACTGTTATTTACCTTATTTTTTATTACAAATTAAAATTACTTTGCAGTCTTAAAAAATCAGGAATTTTAAAGTAACTTTCTGTTACAATGCTCACTGTCCCATTCTTCCTATTCACTTATACAACATATATTTATAGAATTCCCAGAAAACACCACTTTACTAGCCTTTCAGTATAGGTACAAAAAGTACTAACAAAATACCCCTATCACTCGAAAGATTAATAAAGGCTCACTAGCGGAGGTACGCTATAGTTAAAACTACAACATGATACATGCAAGTACAGTGCAGGGGTAACACAAGTGACAAACCCCCAACTATGTTGATAGTTATGAAAAAAGCTTCTGCAGCAGTTCATCATGCAAATAGGAGGAGTCAATGCCACACAGAATATCAGGTTAAAATGAATGAATCATAGGAGAATGAAAAGTGAAGGAATAGAAATAGTTGAAAATAGCTACAGCATCGGACATATATGGAGTAAGAGTTTTTGAAAAGGAAGGAACATCCAGATTACAAAAGATGCAAATTTACAAATTCAGATTTAAAAAAAAAAACAAAAACAAAAACCCAAAACCCGAATCTTAACAAACAAGAGCTTTTATTTAACCTTATCTTCACCACTGAGTATCTTTTGTGTTCTATACAGCATTTTCTTCAATGTATACAATCAGACTATGTCAAATTAGGACATTAAGAAATGATAACACTTTAATATAATGAACACTCATTCAGAGAACACAAACTATATTTATCAAGATAACTGATAAAAATCAATTTTAGACCTCACTTCTACTCCTTATTTGTACTATATTTTCACTTACTAGAAGAAACTAAGGGATATATTAAACTAAAAATTTACCTGTTATATCATGTGTCAAAGGTTCATCTATAGTCTCCAGCAACTGAACAGAAGACTGCTGAAGAGAGTCATCAGAATCGCCAGCTGTTGCCCCTACATCATCACCCACTGTTCCTTCTTCCATGGCTTCTGCAGCTACTGGGGCCAACAATTCTCCTAAGTTTAAGGAGACAATCCTAATCACTTTGATAAATTATACACTTTTATTTTCATTACTTAACAGGTGAAGAAACATAAGCATGGTGATTTTCTCAAGGTGACATAAAGAACTAGTATCAGTTGTATGCTACTGGTTTCAATAATAAGGCATTTTGAATGTCCACATGCATTAACAATCTAATCTCTCAAAAGTACCATTCACCAAAACAGTAAGACAATTAAAATTAAAAGTAATTTTTAATGGTTGCTATTGCTATAACATTGAACGTAACTTTTATGTTTCTAGGAAGTTATAATTTCCTTTGAAGAATACTTAATTCAAGTCAGGCACCAGTGGCTCATACCTATAATACTAGCTACTTGGGAGATTGAAATCAGGAGAATCAGAGTTCAAGGCCAACCTGGGCAAGAGCAAATAGTTTATGAGACCCCATCTCTAAAATAACCAGCACAAAATGGAGTGGAAGTGTGACTCAAGCAGGTGAGCACCTGCTTTGCAAGCACAATATCATGAGTTCAAACCCCCGTCACAACAACAAAAAAAGAGTACTTCATTAATAAATGCACAACCAAGGAAAAATGAATCATGACAAACCTGCTAGAATATCCTGTAGCATACAAGTTAAGGAATACTGAGCCCAAGCACCACCCCAAGATATATCTCCTCTATTGAAGTCAGTTCCAACCAAAAGTAACAGCAATCTTTCCAGCTGTGGTTCATTCACAATCTCACACAGATGAATAGTTGGCCTGGTGGCATTTGCAATGCGTGCAAGAACCTGTAGTACATTTTACAAAATCACAGTCATTACAATTTGTTTCCAAAAATTAACAGCAATCTATCAATACTTGTGCACTGGAGTTAATAGTTTTCAATAATGATGTAGGATTTGGGTATCAAAATAATCACTTAAGGGCTGGGGGCATGTGGTAGAGTGCTTGTCTAGGAGAGTGAGGACCTGGGTTCAATCGTAAGTACACCCTCCCCACACCCTCCTCACGTGCAAAGTCATCACTTAAGATGGAATGCAGAAGAATGTAATCCCACAGGTAAAATATTAAATATGGGTGAAACAGTTAAGAATAACATCTCTAAACATGAATATGTTACAGCAAAGCAATCACATCATTAAAACTCTTTCAGAAAAATCATTTTACGGGTATATTTTCTATTTTAATTAACATAAGAAAGGTAACTTGGGAATGGACATATCCAAATTACCCACATTTCAAACCTTCAAGCTATAACCAAATTCAAATTTAAATGAGTTTCCTTGGGAATAGGTGAAAAAAAGGGTTTTGTTTAAATATTTCAAAGGAGAATTTAAAAAAAAAAAGCTAAGTAACTGCAAAACAGAAAAAAACCAGAGTAACTAAGTTCATTTTCTTAATCAAAATGACTAAAAATGTCAGCCTTTCTAAGCTCTTTTCCTTCCCCTACATGTCTACACTTATAGGTGACGTCTCATAGCTGACTTACCTTACAGACAAACAGTAAGAGATCTGCGTGGCATGTAAAATCCATGGAGAGGAGAAACAGAACAAGTTTTTGGACCACTGAGATACAACGTTCATGGGCCAGAGTAAATGGAAGCGGTTCTATATCTGGGCTTTCTTTTGTTGTTGTAACTTCTGTGTCTATATTAGAACGGGACCATTCTGCTGTCCGACGCAAACGAATTAAATCCTTAAAGTGCTGCACACAAAAATTTACATCATTTAACTAGTGTTTATTAAGTGAAAAAGTATCAGTACAAATTTATGTAACAAAAATATTCACTCAACGCACAACTTCTAAAAAAGAAAAATTTCAGATCAACCCTAAGTACCAAAAGGTAAAATTATTAAAAGCTAAACTGACCAATATACCTTAACTTTTAGTGTATGATATATAATAGAATTTTAGATCAGGGAAAATCTACAGAAAGGCCACAGAAAGTTATTACGTCAAATCTTATAAAATACGTATTGCCCCGACATCCTAAACAAATTTATAAAAGTTGAGGCAAAGAAAACGAACTTCACATAGGCAGGGTAATGCTGACTAGTACTTGAGAAGCAGAGATAAGAGGATCATATGTGAGATCATCATAGGCAAAAGTTAACAATACCCTATCTCAAAAACAAGCCCAACATGGTGGCACATGCCTGTGGTCCCAGATATATGCAGTCTGAAGCAGAGAATTAAGGTCCAAGGCTAGCCTGAACAAAAGTGCAAGGCCCTATTTGAAAAAATAAAAATAAAAAAACACTGGAGGCATGGCTCACGTGGTACAGTGCTTGCCTGGCTAGCATGAAGCTGAATTCAATCCCTTGTACTGTCACCCTCCCCCAAAAAAAGAAAGAAAGAAAACTTATCTTAACCACAAAATATTAGTTCAAAGAACTTCAAGACCTGATTAAGTATAATTTCAAATTGATATAAACACAATACATAAACTTTGTTGCTACATATGTACATAATATATATATCAAATTGTTAAGAGTATTGTTTGTTTTTTGAGACAGTGTCTTGCTGCATATAGCTTAGGCTACACTCAAACTCAAGATGCTTCCAGCTCAGTTTAATTACAGATGTGTGGCTTACCATGTAGGCAGTTTTTTAATTTTTAATTTTAAAAGCACTGACACTTCATGTTCAATTAGAACGGTCATGCTATACTTGGAAGTCTGGGCATCACAGGACCCAAAGGAAGTCTCAATTCTAAACCATAGTAAATCTTTCAATAATATAACTAAAAAGAACATAAAGCCAAATATACTCACTTTACATATTCGTTTTATTTTTAAGGTAAATAAAATTGTATTTATTATCATTCTGTATATTCTTATATTGTCATATTTCAATAATGAGCAAAAGTGTCAATGCCACATAACACTTATATATCTTCAATTTACCAAATTTGAATACACAGTGAAGAAAATACACTAGGAACAATACTTAAAGCCCACACTTACATTTCCTTCAAAGTAAAAGCTACCTTTTAAAAAAAATATTTATTTTGCTGTTGATAAAAATAAATGTTTATATTTCCTGACCATTACTAAAGATACTTCACTACTCGAATAATATGCAATACTAGAAGGAAAATGAAAATCCTGAAATAACTACATTAAAAAGTATATATATATATCCTACCTTTGAAGTAGCCTGCTTTAGTTTTGCTTGTTCTACCAAGAGTTTATAGGATGATCCTTTGTTACTTTGAATTTTTTCTTTCTCCATCTGTTCCACCAAAGCCTTCTGTTTTGCTTTTAGTAGGTTAAGTTGCTTAAAATACAAGTAAACAATTTACTCTTAAAAATAACCATGTTAAAAAACAAAAGGTAAACTGTTATACTCTTCTTAGAATTCATGCATCAAGCTAATGAAATAATTCCTTGAAACCTCTAATAATTTTGACTGTATTGTTGATTTTTAAAAAATCATTTCCAAATCCTGACTTAAATATCTCTGATGCTATCATTAAAAGTTAATCATTTCTGAGGCTCGTATGTTAATTCTAGTGATGTGGGAGGCTGAGACTGGGAAGACCACAGTTCAAAGTCAGCCCAGACAAACAGTTCATGAGAACCCATATCCAAACTAACCAAAACAAAATGCACTGGAGGTATGGCTCAAACTGTAGAGTTCCAGTCCTAGCTCCACCACCACCACCGCCCTGCCCCTGACAAAAAAACACTTCTGGCCAGGCATTATAGTGTTCCCAGCTACTCAGGAAGCAGAGACTAGGAGAAAGATGGCTCAAGGAGAGCCTGGGCATAAAGGGAGAGAAGACCCTATCTCAATCAATAAGCTGGGCATGGTAGCATTTGTCTATCATCCCAGCCATGCAGCAGGCATAAACAGGAGGATCGAGGTCCAGGCTATTCAAGGCAAAAATTTGACACCCTATCCAAAAAACAGCTAAAGCAAAAAGGGCTGGGCACACGGTTTAAGTAGCAGAGCAGCTGCCTAGCAAGCAAGAGGCCATGGTTCAAACCCCAGTGCTGACAACAAAACATGCTTTTTAATCACCTTTTTATCTATGGGCAAAGGGAAGTATCTTGAGGACTTTCTTATACCAGTCAATTCTATGATATTTTTAAAAGCAGAAAAGAACTGTTTGCTTTTAAGTACATGAGGAAAATATTTTTATTAAGACTTCTTAGTTTTGCTTTTATGAGAATTTTCCTCCAGAGTAAAATATTTTTGGTATGTCTGTGTTTACTAATTTTTTTTAATTTAAGCTCCTAAGTGATCAATAGCTGAATGGATCAACCACTGATGTTCTCAACATTCTGCCCCTGATCACCAGAGGCCTCCAAAATATAGTTCTACAAATTCGGTGGATCAACGTGGGTGCTGCAAACCTGCATTCATGGCTGCACTTATTATGATTCTGTTCTCTGCTGAGGGAAATGGACTTTTCAAAGACTCTGCTGGATTCAGGTGCACATGGTCCACATCTGCTCCTGGAAACACAGTGCTCCCTACTGTCACATCAATAAAAATGAGCTTTTCTAGTTCCAGTTTTCTTCCTGAGTTTTGTCAGTTTTATGTTGTGTTTTTCCCTTTATGACTGCTATGCAGACAGGGAAGTAGCTGTAGAATCAATTTTGTACTTTCTAGCATTGGCTTACTAAAATAGACGAGGGAAGGACACTTCTTCTTTCTCTTGTGAACGCATTGACCACCTTGCACACTGTTTTCCTTATCAGATTGGCAAGGCCCATCACTGAGAAGAAACAGAGGATGAATCCTACTGAGAAGGAAACTTAAAGGAGGAGTAGAGAGATACTCTTCGGTTGTCACAAATGATCAAGTCAGAGCTGTTATTAATAATCAAAAGTAGGCTCATGGGAGAGCACTTCTCCTGCCTGAGAACACAGGGTAAATCCTCAGGACTACAAAAACAAACAGAACTACAAAATCTAGTACAGTTAACTACTATTTGCATGTGGTTTGAAGCACTTGAAATGCTCTGAAGACATGAAGTTTTGAAGATTTCATATGAAAAATAGTTCTATTAATACCATGTTCAATAGCATGTTGAAAAATAATTCTAATAGCATATTTTGAATGTAAATAAAAAAACATTAAAATTAAAAAAAAAGTAGTGATCACTTGTACATTTTACCCAAATTTCCTCTAATAACGATTCTGCAAAAGTGTAGCATAGCATCATAACATATATCTACACTGAAATAACTGTCATATTCAGATTTTGTTTCATTTTTACTCATGTGTGTGTTCATATTAGTTCCTATATTACCATAACAGGCAATACTAACCAGCTTCAACACAAGGTTCTTTGTCCTTTCATTGTCCTTTCATCCTGTACCACCTCCTGCTATACCCACTTCCTCCATCCCCAAACCCTAGCAATTCACAGTCAACAGCAATGCGCAAATAGACCAAAGGAAAGAAAACACACTCTGCCTATAAAAACCTGACAATATGTTGAATGATTTCCCCATGTAATAACATACACAGAAAGTAACTTTAAATAGTCATGAGAAAGGAACAGCCACAATAACCAATTAAAGAACTTAATAAACCTGCCTTCTTTCAAAGACACTTCCTGAAGTTCTACTACTGGCATTATTTTAGTTAGCAGGAAAACAATACAAACTAATACTAAAATATAAAACAAAAATCTATTTGGTTATTTAACAATACAAACTAATATTTTAAATTTTTCTTTATCTCCATAAATGAGTAAAGCACACATACATAATTAAAAAACAAAAACAAAACAAAAAAAACCAAAGCAACTAATTCTATACAAAGAATTATAATTTAGCCACATGCAGGAGGCTCATGCTTGTACTCCTAGCTACTCAGGAAGCAGAGAGCAGGAGAACTGAGGTTTGACACGAGCCTGGGCAAACAGTTCCTAAAACTGTGTCTCGAAAAACAAGCACAAAAACTTGCTGATGGAGTGACTGAATTGGTAGAGTGCCCTGAGTTCAAAGCCCAGTATCACCAATCCCTGCTCCCCCCAAAAAACAAGGATTACAATTTAGTATTTTCTAGAAAATGTGGCAGATACACTCAATAGCAAAATATAATTTTAACTTCAACAACCACAATTTTAATTATTAGAGAAGTATCTGTACATTTGTCTTTTACTATTTGAGAATAAAATGGCAAACTGAATACGTCAGTGTTTATTTTCTAGAAACAATATCATCCTGACAAACCTCAAAATAATCATAAAAATCTGAGCTGGGCACTAGTGGCTCATGCCTGTAATCCTAGCCACTCAGGAGGCAGAGATCTAGAAGCTCACTGGTCGAAACCAGACTAGACAAATAGTTTGCAAGATCTTATCTCAAAAAGACCCATCCAAAAATGGCCAGAGAATCAGCTAAAGGTGAAGGTCCTGAGTTCAAGCCCCAATACCAGAAAAAAAAAAAAGATAAAAATCTCACAAGTAATGATGCCCTACCAATTACTCTTAAACTCTTTTTAGTTTGACCAGCTAAGTAACAAAAATAAAGTAATCCATAATACAGACTCAAATGGGAGCTGGTGAGATAGCTCAAGGGGTGGCACAACTGCCTAGCAAGCAACTGATGCCCTAAGTTCAAACCCCAGCAATGTCAAAAAAAAAAAAAAAGGAGAAGAAAAAAACCATCATCATCACCATTATCAAATGGTAACCTCTCCTAAAGAAGTAGTCGCTAGGTTTTGTTTCCCAACTTAAAACACTAAATTAAGTATAACAGGAATAAACATTAAAGGCCCCAAAATTTTAAACTGAATTTGAAACAGGATCCATGTTAGTACTACCTAAAGTCAGTTAAGTCTTTAAAAAGGGAAAAAGATGCTTCATAATGTTTTTCTTGGAAAAGCTCAAGATAGCTCATAATTCAAAAAGTCAGAAGAGAAAAAGAAACAATTTAATGCCACATAGTTTATATTCTTAGAGATGTCTTTCTCTAGCAGGAAGAGATGGGTTTTGTTGGTTGACTGACTGATACTAGGAATCAAACCTAAAGGCTGAACACGCACACACAATACCACCTTACTACAGCCCCAGCCCAAGAATATTTTTTAAAAATTAATTATACTCAAGTATGTGTTCAAAAGATCCTGACAACAGAAGCTTCCTTTCTCCATTAGAAATACACATTGAATAATTTTTATGTGTAAGTTCAAGAGATATCATGTAACTAATGTAGCAGAGATCATATAACTAATATAGCTCACTCATAGAAACCAGAGAGATTTACTGGCTGTCCTGCAATAAAACTACATTCTAATACCTGACTTTCTGCAAAAACAAAAGAAGGTGTATGTGCACATGGACACAAGAAGTAGACAAAGTGTAAGTGAGTGTGTGTGTGCTATTTGTTTGTATTTCAAAACAAGCAAGGGAAAAATAAGGCAAAAACTAAAGGGTACATAACCAGATAAACAGATTGGGAAACAAAGAAAGGAACAGTGGACAGCAATGAGAACCTACTGTTACACTCAACATGGACAAATCAAGTTAAGAAAATAAAATACTACATACCAGAAAGCAGGGTGAATATAATAAAAGGAAGGATTAAAGATACCTGGGGAAAATGTCATATGGGAGTAAGATTCAAATGTACCAACCAAGGAAGCATGGGAGTGTAGCTAAGTAATATACTACTTGTCTAGCATATGCGAGACCTTGGGTTTAATTATGAGCACAAAAAAGTGGATAGACCGACCAAGTTTTAAAATTCCATTGTAAGTAGCAAAGAAAGATCCCTTTGAGATTATTATTATGAACTAACATTAGAAAAAGTAAGTTGGATTACCCAAAGACTAAAATACCTACTTGGAAAGAAAAAGACTTACTTAAATGCAAAAATCTTGGATGAGAAAACTAGTACAGGTATTCCCAGGAACTCAAATTTATTACTACTTAATATTTAAGAAATTAAAATTAAAAACTAAAAGTTAGATAGAAGAGCAGATGAGATGCTCTAAACCCATGGTAAGGACTTTGACCTTCATCCAAAGGCCAATTCATAGTCACCAAGAATTTAAGGAAGGACTGATATGATCAGGTTCTTATGTAATAACAACTTCCAGGAGCAGAACAGAAAGTAGACTGCATTAAGGAGAACATTTCTTTTAATTAGGCAAAAGAAATGGTAATAACTACATTTAGGATCGGAGTAATAGAGATGGATAAAACACTTTAAAGAACACAACCAAAAATATGTAAACTAAGTATTCTTGCCATTTTATAAATAAGGTCTCTCCCTGAGCTAAGTCGCTTGTTCAATGTCATACCTAAAATCTGATGGCATATCTATCTTATGTAACCTCCAAAATGATATTCCCAAACATTAATATTAAAGTAAAAACATCCTGACCATTACCTGTTTATGATGAACAAGCTGCTTTCTGATTTTCCTGGAATATAATCTATCAAGGCTACTGCTGCCTTTTGAGGATCTACTTAAACTCTGAGTGTGTAGATTGTTGTTAATAAAACTCCACTGGTTACCTAGAGCAAAAGGAAAAGTTTTATTAGTAATAATACAAAATATGATTTGGAAATGTTTTATACTCAGAAAACACAAAATACAATTATAAACACTTAAGATCATGACAAAGCAGTTTGAAAGAATATTAAGGAGACCACTATGAAGAAATTATTAGAATATCTAACTCTAGACAAGTTAATAATTGTCACTCCTTTAACTTAGACATTAAATGACCTTATCGCCAATCTCTTCCTAAGGAAAATAGCTACCTTCCTCTATATGGTTAAGATTAATCCTTGAACAGCACAGGTTTGACAATGTCACTCAGTTCTAATACCAAATTATCTTTTTCCATGGAAACAAAAATGGGTACTCTACATACTCAACAACTTGATCAACAACTGCCTGAAAAGGTTCAACGTGTGTCCAGACTATGCTGTGTCATTCTTTTGCTCAATTCAGACCCAATATCACACTATACACATTTATAATTCTTTACTCATTTGCTTAACATTAAAATACTTTTTCCTCTTCTCTACTATCTATCAAGTCTTACTTCAACTTCTTCAAACTCTAACAAAACTCATTCACCAATCTGTCCATACTGAACAATATAAAACTAAGACTTCTAAATATAATCTGTTATGTCCCAACTTTATACGGTTAACTGTATTTATTTAATGGTATATCTTATCATAACTGAGTAAACTGAACATCGATGTACATTTTTTTAAAAAGTCAATATAAAGCCAATTCCCTATACATAATTCTCTTTCATCTTCCAAAGCTTAGTGACAACTGATTAAGTTACAAACATGTCAAGGGAACTTTTTTTTTTTCATTTTTCTTTTATTATTCATATGTGCATACAAGGCTTGGTTCATTTCTCTCCCCTGCCCCCACCCCCTCCCTTACCACCCACTCTGCCCCCCTCCCTCTCCCCTCACCTCAATACCCAGCAGAAACTATTTTGCCCTTATTTCTAATTTTGTTGTAGAGAGAGTATAAGCAATAATAGGAAGGAACAAGGGTTTTTGCTGGTTGAGATAAGGATAGCTATACAGGGCATTGACTCACATTGATTTCCTGTGTGTGGGTGTTACCTTCTAGGTTAATTCTTTTTGATCTAACCTTTTCTCTAGTACCTGTTCCCCTACATTGATTTCCTGTGTGTGGGTGTTACCTTCTAGGTTAATTCTTTTTGATCTAACCTTTTCTCTAGTACCTGTTCCCCTTTTCCTATTGGCCTCAGTTGCTTTAAGGTATCTGCTTTAGTTTCTCTGCGTTAAGGGCAACAGATGCTAGCTAGTTTTTTAGGTGTCTTATCAAGGGAACATTTTAATGTATGTGTAGCATTCCAAGTAATATGGACCTAAATGCCTGTATTTATGTAATACATTTAGCTATTTCAAATCCTTATGAAAGTCTTTTTAACAGGAATAAGGAGAAAAGACACTTGCCTTGAAGTTTTCTTATTATTGTTGTACTGAGGGTGGTACATTGTTACATTTACCAAAGTATTTATAATACATTATACTCAAATTCACCCCCTCCATCATTGTCCTTTATTCTACTTCCCCTTATTCCTGGGACAGTTTCAACAGGTCTCACTTTTCTATTTTCATATGTGAGTACATCATATTTCCACCATATTCACCCTCCTACACCCTTTTCCTATATCCTCCCCACTCCCACTGGTATCAAACAAGACCTGTTTTGCCTTCCTGTTCTCTGTTATTGAAAAACAGACATTTTTGTTTAAGAGTTTCTTTGGGGGGAGAAATGACCCAAACATTGTATGCACATATGAATAAAAATAAATAAATAAATTTAAAAAAGAGTTTCTTTGTGACATTTCCATGTATATATGTTATTATAACATGAATTGGTTTATCTGCTCTGTTTTTCTCCTTTCTGTATTAGTGCCCTTCTTATGGTGATTTCAACCATAAGAAAAAATTCGACATGCATTCTTGTATAGAAAGTACATAAACCATTTTTTTACATTCTTAACTTCCTTCTTTCATCCCACTAGTGATCTGTTTTTTCATAATATTACTTGTATTTGCATTGGACCTACATTCTACAAATGAGAGAAGACATGTGGCCTATGGCTTTCTGAGCCTGGTTAACTTCAATTAAGATTATGTTCTCCTGTTCCATCCATTTACCTGAAATTTGATTTCCTTTAATTTTTAAATTATTTTGTGCCTTAGCCTGTTACCAAAGATTACAATTCAAAACAAAATCTAGGAATTTATGTATGTAAACATAAAGCAATGTACAGTTAATTACCCAATAATGGTAAAAAGAATAACATAACATACTAAAATAATTTTTTTTAACTAAGAATTTCACAAATTTCCCTTTCATTAACTCACTTTTACATGTTATTGTTGGGGAGGGAGGACTTGTGAAACACATGATTGTGTTCAGAAACAAAGTCATACACAGAACAAGGAAGTCTGATCAAAAATAAATTCTACCTTTAAACAGACTTCTGAAGAGTTAACCCATATTTTACATATAAATTACATACAGCTGGTATCTCCAGGCCAATAGTCAGTTGAACAACTGCGGAGTCACTCAAAATCCCCACCAACATATTATTATAAACTTGTGATACCTGTCAGAAACCTCTCCCTGTCTTTACCATTCAAAGGTTTCTTTGCCGCTGCAGCTTCATCTTCAACAGTTGCAACATAATCCAACAACCTGGACACCAGCATAACAACCCAACTGATCATGGGAATATCTAGTACTCCTGTGCAGAGATTGGGGGAAGAAAACTGAAATCAGTAAAGTTCTAATGGGGTCAATAAAAATAACTGAAACCAAACATTTTACAATCCAAAATACACCCTTATCATTACTAATACAAATATAATATGCCTCAAAATTAGATGCCTATGGCCACAAAGTGAGTGGAACATTGAATCCAATAAAGGACAAGTGTTTCCTTCTATGAAAATAGAGTAAATGTAAACTGAATTTATCAAGTAGTAACTTATAAACTAGAAAACATGGTGAAAGACTCACAAGTGACTAAAATAAATAATCAAACTCAATCTATGATTCATATAGTAACAAAGTATATCCTAAAGTTTTATTCTTAAACAATTCTTTTGTTCAAATGAAATTCATCATTGACCAGAGCAGCAACTGTGCCTTAAAGCTCAAATTTATGTGGAGAACTTGATTTTAGTTATAATAGTATAGGGGAAAAAAATATATTAGAATGATTTCAAAGTTCAAAGCTCAAATAATGAAAAGGCAACAGATTTTAAAAATAGTGACTATATAGCAGCCAATCAAACATGAAAACTGCTATTTCTAAAAAGTCTATGTCACAAAAATCTTAATAAAATGTGCTGCATTGGAACTTAAAATAAGTAGTTCACAGAGATGTTTTATAAGAAGATTATGCTTTAACTAAAGAGAGCTGCTTTATGTTAATACCTTCTGTTCTCCTATGCATGGGCAACTCTGGCTGAAGAGGTGACAATAAATTATCCAAGAGATTAAGTAAGCTTTCCAATACTCCATTGTTACTAAGTGATCTCTGACCAATGCAGGAAAGTAACATGAAGACTCTAAGAAAGAGATATGAAGAAAATACCCAGTGAGAATAAACTTAATTGTTCAGTCTCTTTAAAATGACTTAAATTGAAATTTAACAACGTAAAAACTATTTCCTTCTTAAAATATATCCTATTTCGGGTTGGCTAAGAAACAGTTATATCTGGACGCATGACGATAAAAAAGAAATCTTTCTTTAGGCACTGGTCATATTCCTAACGTTATCTGTAGAAAAATCAGAGAACTTTACCTGAGCCTCTAAAATCACATTCAACACATATTGCAACATGATCTGATAGGAAACACTTATAAATCAGAATAGTTAGTAATGGTATACATATCTTTTTCAATACAATGCTGATGTCCTTCACTGGGTAGTCTCAAAATCCTAAGAAAACCTGCTTCATTTCTCCATTTACTAATCACATTAACACAAGTTCAAAACATTACCAATAAGGGCTGGGGACGTACTTTAGTGGCAGAGCACTTGCTAGCATGCACAAAGCTTTGGGTTCAATCCCCAGCACTGCAAAAAAACAAAATCCAACCCATTCCTATGAGAGGTATAAATTTCTGACCTACCTATCCTGTGGAAAGATGAGAAGCTGCTCTGAATTGTACAATTCCTGAAGAACATTAGAAAGAAACTGACCCCACCATCTTTCACCACCACACAGCTGAACAAGCAGAAGACCAGTATGTAATCGGATCTTTGGAGTTCCACTGATGCACAAGTGTTTAAAGAGTTCTTCACAGGCCTGGGCATGAAATGTGCTCTGCAAAACTGCTGGAACAGAGTGCCCTATTACAAGAAAGAAAACATGAAAATTTCCTATTTCAACGTATGATGTATACTATCAACATTGGCATATGTGCATGTGCTTTCTTTTTTACCAGCAGGCAGTGAGTAATTAAATTCTATTTAGCTACTATGTGTTTACTACTGGTATGTAGAACTTTAACTGTTAAATATGCAGGGAGGAGAAGAAAAGGTAGTTAAATTAAATATATTTCTTGCTTCTGTAGTTGTGAGAGTGAGTAGGGCCTGAGTGTGTGTGCTTCAATCAAAAACAATTCCTAGCTACTGGGCATGGTGATGCACACCTAGCATTCCAGCTACTTGAGAAGCAAGGATCAGGAACATCATTTTTCACGCTGCTCAGGAAAAAAGTTAGTAAGACCCCATCTCAACAAATAAGCTAGTTGTGATGGCACACAACTGTCCTCCCAGCTATGCAGTCCAAGATCAGCCCTGTGCAAAAACATAAGACCCTATGCAAAAAATAACCAAACCCAAAAAGGGTCAGGGACTTGGCTCTAGAGTTACAGCAGCTGCTAGCAAGCATGGTGTTCAAACTCCAATATCACATAAAAATAAATTTCTGGACAGGAAATAACAGTTCTATTTTAGGTTAGCAATTTATGAAAACTTCTCACTACTGTACTTTTAAGCACTACTTAATACTTGGCTAGTAAACACAATGTCATGTGCATCAATACCACAAATCCAAGAAACCCATCAGAAACTCATTTGAAAAATTAAAATAAGATGAACTTGGATATATTCAGTAGCACAGCACTTGTCTAGCATGTAGGAGGCACTGGGTTTGATCGACCACATTGCAGGGGAAAAAAATGAGTGAATCTACACAGAGGCTATAAATGCATTAGAAAGGACATAAAGTAACAATAAGCAGAAAATATTACCACAGTTCCTAAAACAAACAACAAAATCATGTCAAATATATTCAGTCATTAAAGTAAGTAAGCAAAATACAAACCATTGGAAGAGTGAAGAAGGCTGAGCAGAGTGTCCAACAAATATCTGATGATAGTACGTAACTGCTCTGTGGACGATGTCTGAATTAAATCTTCTGATGTTTCACTCACTGTCTTCCGATTTGCACCTACAGCTACTTTGAGCCTTTGCACTGCATTATGAGCCAAATTTAGTTGAAGTTGTAGCTGAATACAATCCTGATAAGCAGAAAAAACTCTACTGTCTTCTTCAACTGCTTTGTCTGGTTTTCGCAAAAAGTACTGTGCATTATTAGCACTGTTGAGAGGAGGAAGATCAATACTTTGCAAAAGAGCTTCCAGACGATGACAAGCTAAGTTGTATCTGTAAGTAAAACACAAATGAACAAAATAATTCCTGCAATTTTTTGATGTACACACGTACACACTAAAACTTACAACTCTAAAATATATTAAAGCAGATCAAAAAGAATTACATTAGTAAATACTAATGGAGCCAAATATTTAATCACTGTATTTTCATGCATGTTCTTATAATGTGCTCGTGTTCCACTTCTTTTTGTTCTTTTCTATACGCCTATGGAAAAACATACTTTCACAGAAATACAAATGTGACATTATATATAAAGTACAGAATTTAGCAAGATTAAAACATGTTTATAATTTTCTACTAACCTACACTGTATATCCTCTTGTAAAGCAACCATCATTGCTAAATGCTGGTCAATTTCAGGCTGGCTGGCTGATTCTCCCTCTCCCCTTAGAGGATCATGCATTAACTTCAGTTCACTTTCCCAAGGCAAAATATAGGTGTGACCATAATAAAATCCTAAAGGTATTTTGGCTCTGGCATTAGTACTTCCATAACGTCCAATGACAGTTATCTGAAACAAAAGATTATAAATATACATACGCATAGAAGCCACAATAAAAAATCTGAGCAATATATTTAAAAACATCTTCAATTATATGTGTAAGTTGTTTGCAGAAACAAGGAAAGCATACACATTCACTTTCTTGAAGTTCTTTACCTTCATGAATCTGCACACAGGAGGTGGTATTAAGTCATGAAGAATCAGTGAATGAGTGCTTATATCAGTTGCCACTACCAATCGCCTTCCATCCACCTCTTCTCCTAATGTCCAAATGTCAATGGATAAGGAGGCCAAATCTCCACAAGTAGGAATCAATACATCTGTCAATAGTATAGGTCTTCCAAAATCCAGAGTCACAAATCTCCTGGCCCCTATTATCAAAAGAAAAGCAGATGACCAAAACCTGTATCAATTAACCAAATGATACACTCATAAATAGTTTGAAGCAGTCTTCTTAAAATATGAAATCAACCTAACTAAAAAACAAGAGAAGTAGGTAGTTATAACTGGCCTTGTCAATTCTCACTCAAAAATTCTCTAAAAGCCCAATGTGTTAGCTTGGAACCCCAAGACTTCACACAAAAACTTTAAGAGTAAGACCATTACTATGAATGCAATCAACTGTACACATAAATGTTATTTAAAAATTAGAGCATTAGAGTACGAAAATTTAAGTAAGTAAAAGGCAGGGCACAGTTGCTTGCATCTGTAATCCCAGATACTCAGAAGGCAGAAAAAAGAGGTAGCTAATCTAGACTCACCCAACCTCCCCCTCCCCCAAAAAGTGAGAACCTTAAAAGAGCAAGCCAGACTTGGTGACACTAACCAAGCTACATAGGAAGCAGGGGTAGGAGGATCTCAGTCCAAGGACAGCACAGACCCTATCTGAAAAAATAACTAAAGCAAAAAGAACTGGGGAATGCCTCAGGTGGGAAAGCACCTGCATCACAAGTACAAGGCCATCAGTTCAAAACCCCAGTCCTGGCAATCAATCAATCAATAATAAATTAGCCAATGCAGTATATAAGTTAATTCTATAAAGTAACAGTCTGCCCTTCTTCCAGCCATTGCACATTTTTTCCCTCCATTTCACAACTGGACATACTCAAGATACGAAGCTTATGTGACTTTAGTCTTAACCTTTGTAACTTTTTTACAAGTTACATACATTACATATATTATTTTCAGATCTTTTATATACTTGCATATATTAGCATGAAGCATTACATACTATATGGGGTGTCACTGGTAAAGTGAAAGTGTATTTAAAATCATATGTAGTTGAAGTACCAGTAAAAAAAATGCCCCAAGGATGTCTTCCATGGTAAACAAATAGCTCATCTTCAAGTTTTCTCAAGTATAGACTCACCAGTGAGTACCACTGAGGTAGATAAATAGCAGATTGTCTTTCTTGTTTCCCACACAACACAAGGATGAGCTCAACTAGTGACAAGGAAAACAGATCCTAAGTAATGTTATAATTCTTTTCACTCAGCTGACGTGAGGAGCAGCTAATAATCTTACTGACCACATTTTTTTGTTTGTTTGTTTTGTTTTGTTTTCGTTTCCACTGTACTGAGGATTAAAACCTGGGCCTTACACATATAGGCAAATACTCTACCACCCAGATACATCCCCAGCCATCCAGCTACATTTTCCAGTGAAGGAAAACAACTAAAACATCTACAAATAATGCTGTTCTTGATGGAGCTTGGTTGAAAAGAAGCAGACTGGAGAAATGTTTCTCAACCACAGACAGCGAGTAGGCTTCTCCTGCTCAAGGACTTCACATGCCAGTCACTCTCAGGGAAGGAACTAACTGCAGTACAAAGGACTGCTCAGAACTCCTAAGACTGCAGAACAACAAATCTTCACTACACAGTGCTAACACTATAACTACTTAACAACTGGTAGGGCAGAAAATACCGTAACAATTTTTTAAACTTTCAAACTCTTGTCTTCCAAAACAGAAATTCCCTGCTGTAATAAAGTAAATATGGTTTAATTGCTCATATAATGAAAAAAGTATCATACACACGCTTACACCTAAGAATCTTGATGAATTCTACAGCTACTGAATTATTTAAGATTATAAGGTAAAAACTGCCTACAATTTATTCATGAATATACTTTAATTGAAAGGACCTATCCCAATTATACTTCTCACAAGCATGAGACAAACTAAGACAAAATACAAACTACCCAGAGGCCTTGAAGTGTTATTAATCTAACTCAGTTACTAAATAAGCAGTAGTTCTTCTGTAGGCTATGCTCAAAACGGTTTGAGTACAATAATGCTAGTTTTAGGGATACTTTCTTGGAGTGTAATTTTTAGTGTAATTGTAACTAAGCAATTACAATAGAGACAGAAACTTATGTCAATCTTACTTTAACAGGCAAGATTCAGGTTCAAATTAAACTTACTATTTAAAAAGAATTAGCTCCAGGCACCAGTGGTTCACACTATAATCCTAGCTACTCTGAAGGCAGAGATCAGGAGGATCACGGTTCAAAGTCAGCCCAGGCAAATGGTTCACATGACCTTATCTCAAAAAAACCCATCACAAAAAAAGGGCTGGTGGAGTGGCTCACGGTATAGGCCCTGAGTTTAAACCCAGTACTGCAAAAACTAACTAACTAAATAAAATAACTACATAAATAAATATAAATAAACAAACAGAATTAGCAAACCTAACAATAGCACGCATTATTTTTAACTTGGTAAGGACACCGTCATGAACTCATATAGTGCATATTCTTGGTAAAATCTACTTACTTACCCAAGAGCAAAAGTGATTTAACTGCAATGGAAAATCAAAGCGACTAAAAGAGCTAACAGACTAGAAAAACACTTAAAGAAAGTCAAAGATTACCTGAATGCATTCGCTCTATAATAATAGACTGGTGAGGTGGAGGTTGAAGAAAATGTGAAGCATGAGAAATTGCAAGGGCTAGACCAGAACCAAGTGGATTCTAGAAGAGAAAAAAATATAACGCTATATCGGTATTACTCTTCCTCTATAAAAACCACTAACCAAAATATTAAATTAACAAGTCTCATTTCCTGATGTATAATCTGGAATATTTTATTAATGAGCAATAATAGTCTAACTTGCTATACTGAATTGGTATAATAAAATTTTGCCTTCTAAAAATAGTTTACTTCAAAATATTTTAAAATGTCTAAGCCAACACCTATTTAAAACATAATTTACCATTCTGGACTTGTTGGAATTTTTGTTATGTGCAGCAAGATTGACTGCTGGGGGATCAATGACTGAGCCTGGGAAAAGCTGGGCAAGTTCGGCATTAATCACAACGGAAACTGCTTCATTGGGTGGAGTGAGTGGTGGAGTCATAAAAAGTGGTGTTGTTTTTGGAGTGGGTGGAATAACATCAGATGGATGAATGAAGAATCCAGGGGCAGCCACTGGGTTGGAAGGCACAGAGTTGTGAACAGGACCTACTGCTGATGCTGCTGATGCTGCTGCAGCTGCTGCAGCTGTTGTCTGGTGTAACTTGGCTTCCAGCTTTGCTTTCTGTAAAAGAAGTAAAAGCAACACATATAGACTAATCTTGCCTACCTAGGTTGTGGGTAATACTACATGGGTACATCGTATGAAGATAAACATGGTTAACTAGATCCTAGTTACATAAAGATGAATCAAAACTGGCCTGAATATACATGGAACACTGCCTTGATATGTATACTTCTTTAAATACTGAATAAAAAATTTCCTGTGTATTTGGGAGCTAGGACCTTTTCAACGTAAAGGTGCAAAGCAAGCAGAACAATTAAATATAAATAAAGAAACAAAGTTCTGCTGAAAAATGTTAACAGGAGGTGGATTCTCCTGTTGACTAATATGACACAATTTCTTGTGTGTAATTGGCACAGGATGCATTTAGATGATAATTAAATCTTTAAAACATCTAATATGCTTGTTATACTTTAAGTCACATTAATTTAATTGATCTTTAAATTGTTTTAGGTTTTCTATTCCATGTAAATAGTAACTGGTAACTATCTTCAAGGTTGGATTAAGGGTGTTTAAACAGAGCACAAGAAGTACCAATCACATTCCCTCACTTAGGTCTCAAGTGAAATGCATTCATGTAATTTTAACAAAATTAAATATATCACAAAGACTTTACCTCAATTTTTTTGTTGAAAATGATTAGCTCAGATCGGTCAACCTATTTTCCTTATGAAAATAATGGTCATTTTTACAGTGCTTTTTCAGCTTTTGAAGTTTAGAGACAGCATGAACAAAGAGCCAAATGGTCTCCAACCTGGTGCTGAAGCTTCAAAAGCTGCTGCTGTTTCTCTTGCAGCACCTGCAGCTGTTGCTCGGCTGAAGCCATTGCATGAGAGAGAGACTGCAAAGCTACCTGGGCTGCTGAACTCAGGGCTGTAGAGGCTTCCCCAACTGTCCCAGATGAGAGTCCACCTACTGCAGGAGTAACCCCGAAGGAACTCACTGGCACAGACAAGGGAAAACAAAAGCAAGGACACCAGAATCAAGAAAGGCTTCACAGAGAAACAGTCAAAATATTCTATAAAAAGGAATCTTAATGGGAAAAGTATACTACGGGTACGACTAGTATTCAAATTATAAAAGAATCTGAGAATAACTTAAAAAAGCACCACCCAAAAAAATTAAAAGTACTTTACTTTGGAGTTATCAAATATGTTTAGTATAAAAGAAATTTCATTTAATTTTATTAAAATCATCATAATAATAAGCTTGTATCATTTGAACATAAGAAAAATTCCATATTGTTTTACTGTTTTACATCAACAGCACTCCAAAAAAGTCCAAAGTAACAAAAAAAGTAAGATTTTAAGACCATTATTTAAAAAGGTAAATTATACTTAATTTCCTCACTTTGAAGCATCATCTAAACAGAAGACCTGCCAGAATATGTACAAGTTTTTCCTGCAGTATGCTCCACAGAACACTCAACCCAATCACATCTAATGCATACTGCTTAGGCTCTAGGAAACCTTATAAATTAAGAAATTTCTTTGACTTTTTTTTTTCCAATGTTACTCAAATATACATTACAAATAAACTTTTTCCATTTAATACTTACAAAAAATATTTTGGAAAAGGCTGAGATGAAAACTTATCACAATTTAATCAAATACATCAACATGAAACAACAAGTAGAGGCCAAGCTTAATAAAGCATCAATATTTATATTCCAACAGGCCTTCACTAGGAACCTAAATTGGGGAAGCACAAGTGCTATAATAATAGCACATATTTGGTGTGTATTACTAAATGACACGCTTTTAATGAATTACCCCATTCAACAAATAAATAAGCATATGGGGCAGAAATCATGGTTCCTTTTTGCAGTTAAGTAAAGAATGGCTCAAGTCGGACACTGGCGGCTCACTCTTGTAATGCTAGTTAGTTGAGAGACTGAGATCATGAGGAATGAGGTTCGAGGCCAGCCCAGGCAAACAATTCGCAAGACACCCCCTCCAAAACAACCAGAACAAAATGGACTGGAGATGTGGCTAAAGCAATAAAGTTCCCACAGTATCACCTGAGTTCAAACCCTAGTCCTATGCAAAAAAAAAAAAAGCTCAGAGATGTTACTCTGCGAAACTGACACTGATAGAACTGAGATTACAACCAAGTGGTATGCTGAAGCCAAAGTCAATTCAACAGCATGAAAGTTGCACCAACTCATTAAATCTTTGCAACAGCAAAATATTAGGTATTAACGAGGCACACTATCATGTACTATTTTATATACATATATATATATACGTGTGTGTATGTGTGTGTGTGTGTGTGTAACTTCAAGATTTTACAGATAATGAAACTAAAAGCTAAGGAAAGTAATGTTCTTGCACATAAATGGTGGCAAGTGGGGAAACTCTATGGAGCAATCTGTCTTTTCAATGTCTAACAAGCACTATGTTTCAAAGCAGTAAACTATGTTATCTAGAGCCCACCTTCACAAAGAGCTGGTTCTATTGCTTGCTTCTCAGAAGTGGTAGTGTAAAAGACAACTTCTTCAATCCTAATCTTTTATCTTTAATTTTTGTAAGTATTAATTCAAACACATATATTTTCTTAAGACACAATTAAAATCACAATTAAAATTTTATGATAGCTCTGAGCAAAGAGCCCATTTATAATTAAAGAGTTTTTCTGGAAATTCAATATTTTTAATCATAGAGTGTTTTAATTTCAACATAATTATAAAAGCTTCTACAAAATGATTACAATAGTCCAAGAAAACAAATATAATTTTGACCCTGCTAAAATCTCCATATAAAAAGATTAACTTTAATTTAAAATGCCATCTTCACTACAGAAGAATGTCATGCAGTGGTTATATCCAACACTGAAAGATACAAGGCTATTTTAAAGAATAAGGCACTAAAATAAAGAACTTGTAATTACCTTCTAAAACTGTTTGCAATTCTAAAGCCAAAAGGCTAACACTTTTATTGGGAGGGCAGTGCTAGAGCTCAAACCCAGGGCCTTGCACATCCTAGGCAAGTGCTATATCATTAAGCTATATACCCAGCTTGTTTTTATTTTTTGTTATATTATTAAAGAGAATAAAAAGACAGCCACTTATAAAACATTACCAAGCAAAATCAGTTCAATATACTACTCATGCCTTTCAATGACTATATATTAAAACCATATACAAATATTCTTAATTTTAAAAACATCAATTGTGTGCCACAATAGAACCAACTATAAATAACAGTAATCCTAAAACATGAGCAAGAAATATCACAGAAAATAAAACATATGAAATGAATAAGAATTCCCAATAATAAAGTCAAAAATTTTTAAGTGACAATTATTTATTTCAAATGTCAAAATCACCACATATTTAACATGCTCAAATATTATTCCCTAATGACTCATCTTTACTTTCTTATGAACATCACTAAATATTCACTTAGCTGTTTTTTTGTTTGGGGGGCTTTTTTTGCAACAAGGTCTAATTATATAACACAAGCTGACTGAAACTCACAATCCTCCTGCCTCAGCCTCCCAAATGCTATGAGCTACCACACCTGGCCTTACTGTTCGTTAATGTTAAATATAAGAAATAACTACGCAGAACACAGAGAAGACAAAACTGGCCATCATTCAAGGATTCTTGAAGCTAGAAAAAAGAAACATGGAGTCTACTTTGCTCTTCCATCTGTTTCCGTTACAGTTCAAATTTCCTAAATTCAAAAGCTTCCAAAAAGCACACACATATAAAAACAAAAGGAGTTCCAATGGTGCTCTAAGTGGGAAAAGGAGAAAAACCAAACAAACTGACAAAGAATTGGTGCTCTAAGTGGGAAAAGGAGAAAAACCACACAAACTGACAAAGAATTGGAACAATTTTATGGTATTTTCCCAAATGTCCTTCCTAGAAATTTCCATGAAACCTGACAGCAATGAAATCTGCACAGATTATAAGGTGATATTTAAATGCATAAACATCATTTTTGTTATTGCTGTATAAAGTATATAATAAAAGAAGGTATATACCAGTAAACGTACTTGCATCATCCCTTTCTATTCTGGTTCCATCACTAGTTGACACACAAGTAAAGTGTAGAGGTTCAACTTCTAGAAGTCCAGTGAGTGCCGTGAAACTACCCTCAGCAGCTGTGCAACTACTGACCTTTCCATTTCCTAGTACAGAAAAAGACAAGACTTATACAAGGTGAAGACAATTTGTAAAAGGCAACCGATATCAATAATTAAACCTGCTCCTACCAAAATTGCACACCCTTAACATAGTTCCATCAATGGACATATTAGAAAACCTCACAAAAGGACAAACTAGTAGCAATTCACAATAAAAAGAGACATGAGGAAAACTTTTCTATAAACACAGAAAATTATAGTCAGTAAAACTTAACTTAGATTTTAAATAACAAAAAAATAAACCAGCTGTTAACTAGCTATCTGTTAAACATGCATGACATAAGAATATATTGTAGGGCTAGTGTAATGGCTCCAGTAGTAGAGCGCCTGCCTAGCTAGTAAGCATGAGGACACGAGTTCAAACCCCAGTACCATCACTCCCCACCCAAAAAAAAAAACATAGTCTATGTTGTTAACAAGATTTAGCCTGAGATATGCTTCTTTCTATACAAGTAAATACGTTAAGTTAGCATAAATAGTTTTAAAAAACAATGTGGCCACAACCTGAATAAAGAAAACATAAGAAAATTAGAAGAACACAAATGAATTCAAAGTGACTGTGTATATGGCTTAAAACACAAGTATTATTTTGCACTATTGCCAACAGTATTTATTGAGATGTAGGTAAAATAGAATCGGCAGGTAGAAAAAATGGTATGGTCATCAACATCTGAAGGACTACTATTATAACCTTGCTTTCCAATGTCCCATTGGTGACCAGCAAAGGGCCTGAACAGATATATGCAATAAAATGTTTATTACATCCCTACTCAGTAGAAGACTTACAAGATAAAACAATAAGGCCAATAACCCCAGTCCTCTAATTCTAATCTTTACTTTGAAATTCTAAAATCTCTACTTTTAACATTGGCAACAAGTACTATCAACTTCTCCCAAAGAAAATGGCGATTTTCATTCATTTTTGAAAAACTATCTGCTAATTAACCAAGTCTGAATGGGCATAGTTTGCTTATCATCCATTCTTGCAAGTAAAAAATGGTGTTCCATGAAATAAATAACTAGTTCAGCTTGTAACTCAAAAAACTACACAAACATACTTACCTGAAACCATGGTACTTCATCATACAGAAGTGCATTATGTATATTGCCCATCTCCCCAGAGAATACTTGAAAGATATGTGATTGGGGATTCAAAACATGATTAAGTTAATGATTTTTACTGCTTCATCACAGGTTCATAAACAAAGCTAGCATGTTTTTACTTCAAGTGCACAGTGAAGAACATTTCTGCACAATCAGGACAAATGTCAATGCACTAAATAAGGCAAATAATATTGTTCTGCTATTATGAAAATAGTCTGGCTAATTGGATCTGCTTAAAGAAACTCAGGAACCCTGAGTGGGGTCTATATTACACACTTTGAGAAATACTGAGCCAAAGAAAGGAGACTATAAAGGGGCGATAGCAAAAGATTAGGCAGTAAAGAGAGTCAAATGATACTTTTATATACTTTGGTACAGATGTTAAACTTGAGTAATGGGAAGACATGAAAAGTATCTTAAGGGGAGAGTAAAGTGATAGTGTTTACATTGAAAAAACTCTGCATTCACTCAAATGTGAAGAATGTACTGAAGAAAGGAAAGAACAGATACAGAAAGACCACTTCAAAAACTGATACTGGCCAGGAATCAGGGCTCATGCCTGTAATCCTAGCTACTCAGGAGGCAGAAATCAGGAGGATCACAGTTTGAAGCCAGCCCAGGCAAATAGTAAAAGAAACACTATCTTGAAAATACTCAATGAAAAACAACCGGTAGAGTGGCTTAAGTGCTAGAGCACTTACACTTACACTACCAAGTGTAAGGCCCAGTATTTAAACCCCAGTACCACAAATAAATAAATAAATAAAGCTTTTATTAGCTGGGCACCCGTGGCTCACACTTGTAATCCTAGCTACTCAGGAAGCAGAGATCAGGAGTATCATATTTCAAAGCTAGCCCAGGATACTAGTTCACAAAACTATCCCAAAAAAATCCAAAGAAAGGGTTGGTGGAGTGGCTCAAGATGATGGTCCTGAGTTCAAACCCCAGTACTGCAACAACAACAACAAAAAAGCTAATACTAAAGTATAACCTATACTAAAGTATAGGTTAAATATGACTGAGGCTTGTACTATAATCATGTCATTACGAGAGATAAGATAATGAGCAGAACTGAAACATACATTGGTGAAAAAACAGGTAGAATCTGAAAACAGCCTCGATGTGAGAGATAAGAAAGAGGTATCGAGGAAGATATAGTCTTGTGCAGCTGATGCCACTGAGAAAAAGAATGCTGCAGAAGGACTAAAGATGAGGAATAAGATGACCACCCAAGAAGTCGCCTCAGTGTTCTTTACCAACTACAGCTGCTCTTGCCAAGTGGTTGAGAGCACGGCCTGAGACTAACGCCCATGCGTCCATACTCCCACACTGAGAGTTCTCACTCTGTCTATGGTAGACTACAGGCATCAACACTGCTGGTTCTAACCTATTCTGTAAGATCCAGTCATAAGCTACAGTGGCTTATTGATGTGTCAACTTAAAGAATTCAGGTGATGGAGAGAGGCGCATAAAGTAACCAAAGTCTAAGCCATGTAACAGAGGTGATAACATGTATAATCAAAGAATGTAAGTCATTAAAAATGATTGAACAGTGTAATATGATCTCTTCCATTAAAAAAATTTAGTCTAAATAGCTAAATATCCATTTAACGATGCTAACCTATGTAGGTAGATAGGCTGCAGTTGAGGCATTTCACATTTTAATTATACTTTTATGTTTGATTTTCCCATTGTGCTTTGTTATATAACTCAGTTTATTATACAATAAATAAAATTGAGATAAACTCCCAAAAACCACCTATATTTGACATGTAATTATCCTGATGTGTTCTGCAAATAACTTTTATAACTTTTTTTTGGCAGTACTAAATTCTGAACTCAGAGCCTCACATGTCCTTGGCACTTGGAGTCATGTTTCCAGTACTTTAATATTGGAGCTTTTGGCTTTAGTTACTTTTCAGGGAGGGTCTTACATTTAGCCTGAGGCTAGCCTACCAAAGCCTCCTGCATAGCTAAGATTCTTGTCCCACTGTGCCCAGCTTATTTGTTGGGATGAGGTCTGCTAACTTTTTGTTCAGGCTGGCTTCCAATCAGGATCCTCCAGATCGCTGCCACCAGAGTAGCTAGGATTATAAGCATGACCCACAACATACAGACCATTCGGTTTATCAACAACACTTAAGTGCAATTAAATAGTCACTGCTACAATGAATGAAAATAAATACCAAATACTAGCACTTGAAAAGATTACACAAATAGTATGATACAATACAGTCCTAAAAACAGATTCTTCAAAAATATGTAGGGTTCATGTACCATATTTGTTGTTGTGTTGGTTTCCTTCTTTCTTTTTTGACAGTACTGTGGTTTGAACTTAGGGTCTCACACTTGCAAGGCAGGCACTATACCACCCTCTCCAGTCCTAGCATACATGTAATGTGTATAAAACTTACCTTAGAAAGTGATAAAAATTATTTTTTCCCTTCTGTATCCTTGCTTTAAAATACTGCAAATATATATCTATACTTTTGAAATAACACTCTGGCTTAAGAGACTGCCAAAGTGCAGTTATAACACATCAAATTTTAAAAACTTATGAGCATTAAAATAACACTGACGAACAATGAAAAAGAAAAACAATGAAACAAATTCACAGTACTCTCAAAGATAATATTAATACACAGTTTGAACATAAATTATCCAAAATGTGTGGGGCCAAAAGTGCTTCAAATCTTGGAGGGGAATGCTGGGCACAGTGGCTCACACCTATAATCCTAGCTCTATGTGGGAGGTTTAGATCAGGAGAATCATGGTTCAAGGCCAGCCTGGGCAGAGAGTATGTGAGATCCCATCTCCAAAATAACCAGAACAAAATGGACTGCGGGTGTAACTCAAACAGAAGCGGGCCTCCTTTGCAAGCATGAAGCCCTGAATTCAAACCCCAGTAGTAGCAAAAGTAAAAAATAAAAAAATTTAAAAATCCAGGAGGGTTTTTTTTGGTTTTGTTTTTTTGATTTTTAAATGGTTGAGCATCCCTAATAGATAAAACTGACACTTTTCTAGCACCAACGTGATGAATTTTGGAGCATTTCAGATTTTTGATTTTCAGATTAAGGATATTCAGCCTGTACTAATTTTTTTGAGTGAGGGGGGAAATGAAATTAAATCAAACAGTTTAATCATTCACAGATGGTAAAGTTCAAAAGAACTTTAATGTTCTAAAGACAAAGTACAGTACCCTACAATAAAGTTAGAAAGTAACTTAAAGTCAATCTATAACCCTTCAAAGTCCTGTTAAATAAAAGAAGTCACTACCTGAAAGGACGTCTGATAAATCAATTTCATCTGATTGGACACCAATGCTGCTATTGTACACATTTTTGCAAGAAGACCCACTCATCTCCAAGTCAAACAGGACCGGATCAAATGGTGAGCTGTATAGTCCATATCTGAAAAACAAAAGTCTCTGAAATCTATACTCCAAAAGACAATGTCCAGGGACGCGAAAACTGGGATTCCACCAATCTAGCAGCTAATGTAGTAGGACTGTCACCTGGAAACTGAGGTGAAGAAGAGATGCCAGGCATTCTCTTCTATCAGCTGACAGAAGAACATGAGTTAAAGGTGAGGAGAGATTTACACAGTTCTATCTATGAAGCTATACATGTTCAGATACCTTGCATTAAATGCTTCCAACATTAGTAAGGGATCCATCTTTATAATTAGCCGTCTGAATAACCACATCAGACGTTCTGAAATGGTTAAAAAAGGGAATAGTTCAGAGACAACAGGAGAGAGGAAAACCTTAAGGTATTATCATTTGAAAGAAGGTAAGCATAAAGTAAACATATTTTTGCATGATACCTGGGGGTCATACTCAGAAAGGCCCATTATTACATATGTTAAAATACCTTGTTTGAAGTAAAGCCTCCAGTGGTGTCAGCCTGTCCTGTAATTGTCTGGACACAGCAGTAAGTAAAGATGCACAAGCTGTACTACACCCAGCCAAATCTTCATCTTTAACGTAATTCAGCAGGACAAAATACCAGTAGACAGAACCTGGAAACAAAAAAATCCATCTTTTTCCTGCCTGTTTTCTCACAAAGAGAACTTCAGATTGCATATTTACGCCTCCTCTTACTACAAAGATACCTCCTTATTCTGGAAACAAAAATGTTAAGGGCATCTTACAAAGAAAGAGGAACTCTTGGAGGGTGAAGGGGTAATCAAAGAGAAGGAACACAGATAACGAACATCTGAGGCACAGTGTTACGTTAAGCACTTCAAACATATTTTCAGAGTTATGTTAAGTCAATGTAGGCATTTAGGACTTTAATAACATGAAATGACTTAAAAAGACATTTTAGAATAGCTGGAAAAGTGCAGATTTTAAGTGCAATAAACCATCCTTCCTAAAACACTTTCTGTACTAAAATTTTCAAAACACTAAATTTCAGTGAGCCTCACATGGCAAACTTTACCAAGTGGAGCATTATTTTCCTATACTGACTGTTAAACACAGACCAACTTGGCTTCAAAAATAACTATGGTATATTTTAAGATTCTTTTATAAACTTAATATGTCAAACTACTGAGTATACACCAGAATTTAAGCAATATACCTCTAAAACTGTCTTTAAGAAACTGTTTGAAGGGCTAGCGAATGGCTCAAGTGGTAAGAGCACCTGCCTAGCAAATGTGAGGCCTAGGTTCCAACCCCAGTGCCACCAAAAAAAAAAAAGAAAGAAAGAAAAAAAAAGAAGAAACTGAAATACTATTATAGTGAGCAACTGAGCACAGATAATTTTACTCTATGTAACAGTCAACAGTTTAAGTAAAATTATTTTTAAGGTGAATACAGTTTCTTTATTTAATTAAAATAAAATATCCTTGTATCAAAAAATTTCAAAAAGCATTTTTACTGGTCTATTATAAAGATCAAATCCTTACGAAATATCTCACTGAGATAATTTTTTCACATTAGAAATTGTTTTATCATCACAAATAATGGTCAGATGTTCTGTTCCTAAACTGTTTTCCAAAATGAACCAACAGCCTTTTTTAAAGAAAGCCACACAATAAACTTTAAAAGACACAGATTCTAATGCTTCTAGACCGTTGCTAGGCTGTGTGTATATGTCTATATATATGGAGGGGGAAGGTGGGGAATAAGGAAGAAAAAAAGAAAGGCTTATTCCATTAGGAATCAGAAGTTAGAACTGAATACTCTCCAAAGCAGAAAAAATACAGTGCCATTTCAGGCAAAGATTATTCAACTCACCTCCCCAACATCCACAACTAGCTATCTGAACTGATAAAGCAGGTCATAATTAGGTTTTACCAAGTTAACTTATTGAGTGAGTTATTTATAAAACAGACGAGTGTGAGAAATGTATACAAAAAAAAATTAAAGAGCAAATCAGTAGCTCTTCATAATAAAAACATAAAACAAAAGAAAATAAATATTATAAATAGTACTACTCTAAGGGATGACTTTGTATTTTCCTACTTGTTAACTATATTTATTCTCAAGGGGCATTTCCACAAATCTTAAGCTAGCCACTCTAAGGGAACTCAGTTTACCACAGTCCTCCCCCATCACACGAAAGGTATGAACAGGCAATGGCATGTGGACCATTTTACTTCTACATGTCATCTCTTTAACACTGTACAGCATTTTGTGATATCTGATCTACAGCTGGTAAACAATCAAAACAATTCAATGATTTTAATGTAGTCTAGAAAAATATGTATCAATGATGAATGTCACTGATAAACTATAAGCACAAAAAAAAATACTTATCAAGGTAACTTGGTATTTACTGTCCCTCTAATCTCTTCCTAGGATTATTAAACACAGTGTATACTCCCAACCAACCACAAGTTACCAACCCTGCAAAAAATACAGATAAGCTACAGAAGAAAAGCCTCGGTAACTAAAGTTAGTCCCTATGATAATAACTATTTGTGATTAAACAATTTTACATACCACCAGTTGCTGCTGCTGGTAAAAATGACATATTATCAAGTAAAGCCTTCAACAGAACAGATCCAAATCCTGGTTGACAGGGGTCACATTTTCCATTACTGAAAAATTTTGAAAAGAAACATTTTAAAGGCATTTTTCCGGTCTTAAATTCAACTCTAAACCTGACACCAAACTTAAAAGTCTTTGAAATCCATTCAAACCGATAATAAGAAAAATCTACCTTAAGGCCCTACAAACATAAAACAAGGCAGTAGGGAATGAATATGCTAAGGATCTTTGTAACAGTTTTCTTCTCCATTAAACCACTATCTTTACTAAGAGGGCTAACAAGCAATTCCTGTCAATACTGACCACTAGCTTTAAACATCTACTAGACAGGTTAAGTTTCAGGGTTTACAGAAAATGAGCCACACAATGTCAGAAAAAGGAATGGTGGAGAGGCTCAAGCAGTAGAGCACCTGCCTATCACACGTGAGTTGCAGAGTTCAAATCCCAGTCCCACTAAAGAGGGACTGGGATGGGGAGAAGAGGGAAGGAAAAGATTATGTATAATATAATAGGAAACAAGGCTACAAGTGAAGGAAGACAATGAAGGTGAATGTAAGGTCCCCCTTATGAAAGTCTCCAAACCATTATTAATAGGTAAAGACATCTAGCGAACTTCTTATGATACTATAGATTCATTTAACATGGCATTTTGCCCTAAGAATCCAAGCTTCTTTTTAGTATCTCAATAACCTTCATCAACTGTTGAAATCCTAATTTATTCACTCAGTGAGGATTAAATTACAATATAAACAAGGAATCAGATACCAAACTATAGGTATACCTCCAAATAATACTTTCAACTTAAAAACACACCAACCTAATGCACAAGGCTAGAAATCGGGCACACTTATGGGCAATACTTCTTCCTGCCTCAAAGAAGCAAACACGTATGATGTCTGAAAGACATTTTCGTGTTTTTGAAAGCAGGTTCTCATTTCCTTCCTTTGAGCTGCAAAACAATAGCAAATAAACAGATTCATTTTAGACTTTCAATCAAAACATTCAAAGGGCAATCATCAGTGATAAGCAATATCATAAAAAAAAAAAAATAATTAACCTTCCAGGTCCATTTGAATGTACTCCAGCTAACCAACACAGAATATCCAGCACAAGGCTCTGAGCATGTTCTGTGATTTGGCCATCATCAGCTTTTTTGCAAAGAGTATTAAGAAGCTTCTCATGAAATTCCGAAAACTGTAACATGGCACATCGTTGGACTCTTAATAAAAAAATAAATAAATACATACATACATACATTATCCATGAAAACAGAAAAATTAGACTAAAGTTATGACAACCTGGTTGACTATATAATATTTCAGTTAAATCATGAATGTCACAAAAAAAATTTAGGACTAGGGATGCAGTTCTGTAAAAGGGTACAGCAGTAACATGTGCAAAGCTCTCAATGAAAGAAAGAAATGAAGGAAGAGAAAGAACCAAAGAGAGAGAGGAAATAAGTTTTTTAAATAGCATACATGTAATACTTCATGAGTGTAAAGTTTTAAAAGAAATGAGGTTTAAAATAATGTGGTATAATCTAACAAAGAATAAGCATGCCTTCAAATCATGTTTACTTCTTTCCTCATTTACCCCTGGTATATATATATAATCAACACTGTGTACACCAGGCATAAAACAACAAAAGGACAAAGAAAACTCATCGTGTTTATAATTTCTTACAAACAATGGAAAGCAAATAAGAAGTCTCAGGTAAAAAAAGTTAGATTTTCAGTGTGTGCTGGTATGTTTTCTACTTTTGGTACTGTTAAGAATAGCGGGCAAAAGAAATAAGATTACCTTTCCTTAGAAACTGAAGTTTTCTTAAATCTTCGAATGGTGACTGAGACCTCCTGAAGTAAATCACAGCCCCGGAGATTTTCAGATTTACGAGTGCCACCTGCATTTTCATTCTTAACATTAGATGATTTATCCTAAACATACAAAAATAATTGAAGCAAAAAAAGAAACTAGAAAATTATTTATAACTGAAGCTATAACTGAATTGTAACTACCAAAACATAAATCTCAAATTTAAAAGCTAACTTTTACCCTCATATTCTTTCTAATAGGGAAAATAGACAATCACTTTTTTAGAGGCCCAGTATTAAAAGATTATAACACCAATGTTTTGAGTCCAATTCCTCCAGCACTTTACAAGCTAACTCAGAAATGCTAGATCCCCAGTGACTGTGTTCACTCACTTCCAATATACAAAATGGAGACAACAGCACCTGCTCTGCCTATCTCAAGAGTTAATTTGAGGATGAAATTAGATAAAGTACACAGAAGTCCTTGAAAAATCAGAAGACCTATACAAACATGATTGGTATTACTGATATTGCTGCTATTGCTGCTTATAAATAATGACAGAGAAACAAACCCTCCAAAATTCAGGAAAATCCAAGATCAGACCATTATGAAGAGCCAACATGGTACCCAGCTAAGTTGTGGGAAATCAACCATGAAGGTAAGGAAAGAACTCCTAACATCTCTTCCTGTATCCTCCCAAATGGTTACCAAAAAACAAAACATAACAAGAAAGTGGTGAATATAGCAAAAACTCATAATTAAGAAAGTAAGTATAAGTATTACGGTCTAATAGTACATGCTAGTAATTACTCCCCACTGAGTACACCTAATAAAAATTAGGTACTTTGCTTAAATTTAGCTCAAAACATTTTCTTCTTAATTATATTTCTTTAAGTCACTGCAAAGAAAAATTACAAATAAACCAAGTTTCAAAGAGAACACCAATAAAAAATCATACTACTTCTAAAAGTGTGTAAAATCTCATCCACAATATTTACAACAGCATTGCTATTATTCAAAATGATAGGTTCATACCTTGCCTGCTGCAACTTTTGCCAAAAGAGAAGCAAGTGAATAACCCTTGTTACTCTGGTGTTTTAAAGATGGAAGTCTCACTACAGGACGTAGACCACCATTACAAATCTCATCTGTTCCTCTTTCGTTCACTGCTTTGACGTGGATTAAGAACGAACGATACTTTCCTCCTGCCATACCTAGAAAAGTGGTGTAGAATGGCATAAATTACAGAACCACCAAGACAGAAAACTGTTTCTCTTCTTCACAGTGCAAGATAAAAATACTAACTCCATAGAAAGAAAAATACACTAGGCCAGAATTCTCAAAGTTTACTATTTGACAGTTGAACAACCATCATATGTTTAGCAGCACTAAACAAAAAAAAAAATGTAAATTATATGAACAAGATAGAAATTTTTGACCAGCATAAATACTTGGCATAAGTTTTCCTCAGTGAAATGTCATTTTAACGGAAGAAATGTTATGAACTACAGAAAAACACAAAAAAGAAAGTAAAACTGGCTGGGTGTTGGTGGCTCACACCTGTAACACCAGGTACTCAGGAGATCAAGAGGATCATGGTTTGAGGCCAACCCAGGAAAAAAGTTACTGAGAATCCATTTCGATCAATAAGCCAGGGGTGGTGGCACCACCTGTGATCCTAGCTACACAGAAGGCCATAAGTAGGAGGATCTGTGTGGGGGAGTGGGTTAGACAAAAATCCAAGATCTTACCTAAAACATAAGTATAAACAAAATGGAGTGGAGACATGGCTCCAGTGGCGGAGCATTGGCACACTCCAGGGGGAAAGGAAGAGGAGGGAGAGGAGAAAAGGCAGGAAGGAGAGAGGGAAAAGGGAAAGGGAGAGAGAGGGGGAGAAAGGGAGAAAGGAGAGAGGCTGTCCTAAGGAACCACACACAGGTAATTACAGTACCATTAAGTAGAGTCACTCAATGGCTTGACTAATAGCTCTGCCATTTATTAGGTGTGTAACAAGTATCTTCTCTTTGGCCCAGGTTCTTCTAATGTAAAATGAAATAATATATACCTCAGAGTTAATAAAATTCTTACCACTGTACCTACCACAAAAGTATCATTCAAGAGGTAACTATCACTAGTATGTGTTCTATCTGGTATTAAAAAAATTGAGATATTATCCAATCTATAATGTTAAATACATTGCAAACATACCCTCACATTACTATACCTGCTACCAAACCAATACTCAATTCCTGATCGTGCAGGTCTCATTTTCACAGCAAAAGCTACTTGTATTGTTTTCCATTTACATACCTGCCTGTGGCTTAACATAAATTGTTACACTTTTTTTCCTTGTTTTTAAACCCAAGCAGTCTCATAGATGTTATACTCCACTTACTACTATACTATTCTATTAGTATATGACAGGACTCTCCCTCTCAATCTTCTCTTTCAAAATTTCTTTGGCCCAACTCATACTTTAAATCTTCGACAAATATTTAGCAATTACTTTTTCCAATCCAAAGATTGTGGAAAAAGATTTGAGGAGAAAAATACTAAATTGTAATAAATTCAAAGGAAACCACATTTTAGTATTACTAAGGCTTTCCAAAAACATCCTGTATAATTTGACTCTCCACTTTCTCAAAAGTATTTTTATTTTCATATAAAAATTCAAATTTCACATTCTCGCTGAATAAAACTTACACTCTAAACAATATGAGAGAAGAGAACTTACTAGATTTTGCTCACCACTATACCCTAGCATAAAGGCTAACACTTTATAGTTTCAAAAACTTAGTAAGTGACATATAATCAAAAAAGCACAATAAAACTTGTATTTATAGACCCTTATCTTTGGGCATATGTTCCAAGACCCCTGCTAATGCCTGAAACCATGGATAGTACTGAACCCAATATAAAAAAAAAAAAATGAAGCTTCATAGCACTTCTCACTCACTGTGATCACGACTATTTGTAGCTTGATATATCAGCAAAACCAGAACAAATTTCTTTTTCCTTCATCCCATATTATTTATAATAAATTTTAGCAACCTTAGCATATGATTTGTTTCTTTCCTTCATAATTTTCACCTTTTCACTTAAAGGAAATACACCATGACATTTCTTTGGCATCTAAATTGTCAGCATCACTACTCTTGTGCTTTGGGATCATTACTGAGTAAAATAAGTGTTCCTTGAATCCAAACACCGTGATACTTAAATATAGTTGCTCTGATAATGGAGATAGCTCTAACAAGTGACAAATGGATAGGTAGCACATTTAGTGTGGATTTAATGAACAAAGGATGATTCTTGTCTTCAGTAAAATGGCCCAAAATAAGATCACACTCCTCAGAATGGTGTGCAATTTAAAACTGACGAATTGTTTATTTCCGGAATTTCCAAAACTCTTCAGATCAACATTGACTGGGGATAACAATCCACAGAAAGAGAAGCACTGGGAAACTATTTTGTACCATGTCTACAACTAAATGTACATTTGTGAATGTGAACAAAACATTATGAAGAAAATGTACACAAATTAAAATACTTACTATTTAGGTGGAAAGCTATTTTCTGGGTTTGGGAACACCATCCCACCTCCAAATTTCTTCAACAATTAAATTAGGCATTTCATTTGTTGCCTTTTTTTTCAAAAAAAGAAAAGGAAAAAAAAAAAAAACCACCTCATCCCTGGTATACAAAAGCTAAAAAAAGTCCTACAAATGGTATTTCTACTTATTACCTGTGTAACTTGTACTTACTTGTGTTATACACATCATTTTATCTGAATCTGTCAACACTGTTTTATAAAAACTATCTTTTAAAGGAAAATATTACAATATTGAAGAAACACTCAGAAGTCATGGGACTATAAAGTGACAGGGTAAAAATGACAAAATATAATGTCTGATTACTTGAAAGTTCTGTTAAGTCACCCTGTACTCTTTTTTGCTGCTGCTGTTGTTGTTTTGTTTGGGAGGCAAAAGGGAACAGATGGTACTGGGATTTGAACTGAGGACCTTATGCTTGCTAGACAGATACTCTATAACACGTGAGCCATGCATCCAACCCACCTGTAGTCATTTGTTTATGCTTCACTGAAAAGCAATGATACCTCGATGACACAAAAAGTAGGATAAAAGTTAAATACACCATAGTTAGTTATTAGAGGAAATAACCTCAGATAAACAAAGCTGATGGAATTTCCAATGAAAGACCCAAACAACCAATACCTTACATTTCTGAGATCAGTTTATATACTCTGCTTTTATACAATGTATTACTTCACCTTTAACAAGTTTGGGGCTCGTTAATGTCAACATCCCAGCGTGCCCTGATAGATCAAGGCCACTAGCTAGCCACACTGGCCCACACAGAATGTCTTCTTTATGATCCTCTAAAAACGGACATAACCTAAGACCTAAAAAGAAAGACAGATTTTTTCCTTTAAATCAGTTTGTTATTTAAAATGTAATAATTAGCAAATATCCATCCCATTTACATATACCATATTGAGAATGTGTTCAAATAAGAACTCATTGCCATGCTAAGAAAGTATAATAATCTCATGTGTAATATGTTGTCCATTTTCATATTATTTTACATTTCACCTTGATTTTCAAAAACTTATAAAACCATGACTTGATTTCAACTCCCCAGGAATTAAAAAAAAACAAGAATGCAAGTATTAGTGCAGCTGTGTTCACAAAGATGAGCTGAAAGTTAAAGCATATTGCCAAAGCAGAATTATAGGTTATTTTAAAACCATGTTCTTAAAAACCAAGTTTTTGCAAGCCATAAGGAAATCTTTGCCCAATATGATGCATTCGGATCACTACTCCTTTTACTATCATGGACAACAGCTCTATAATTTAACTCACACTGTGATTCCTCTACATCCATGTGCTGCATTTCTTCATTCAAATCAACCAGGGACGGTTTCCCATTTTGTTCCACTTCAATGTTAAGAGCTGGAGACAAAGGAAAGGTGATCTGCCTATCTACTCCTGTTTCTAGAGGATAAAAAATTAGTAAACTTAATTTTGCTTAATATCAATGATTTCTGCCTACTAATCTAAAATTTTCTGTTTAATTGGGAACTACTGTGATTTTCATCACCAAGAAATACTACCACCTAGTTATTAACAATAAATGTACACAATGTATAAAATGGCTGTCAAGAGAGGAAGATAATTCGATTCAATGAATTATATTATACACTCTTCTTTCTTGTAATGGAAATTAAATATTCACCTAAAGAAATAATCTGTTGGCAACTAAGCTACTAGTTCACACTTTAGGCTGCACACTACAAGTACCTAAATTACCAATACCTATGTCCTAGACACAAATAAAAATCTCTCATGATTTAAAGAATACACAGATACAGAAGTCACATAAATATATACACATATATCAAATTCCTGACAAAAGAATATTTCAGGTTTCAATATTTAAACCCTAGTGTTAAGTTGCCATTTTAGGATTAACATATACCCAGCCATTTAAATTAGCCTCTTTGAAAAAAAAAATTTTTTAAAAAAAAGAAAGAAAGAATGCCACCTAGTTACTAATGATAAATATACACAATCTATTTAAATAATTCAGATTATCAAATTGGAAGAGTAAGTAAAAACAGGCATATTTCTGTCATTATACAAAGGTTGTCTTTACTTCCAAATAATCAAAACAGAAGTCTTCTCAGAATCACTTCTTCTCTTAGGAAAGTATGAAGCTAGTAATGCTAAAAGTGAAACTAATTCACAAAGGAACTAGCATCACTTTCCAAAAAGGGCATGATTATATGCAATTCAGAACATGACTGAGTTACTTAAAAGGTCTGAAATGTTCTCTGGATTATATTTCTAAATTAAAAAAAAAAATCACAAAATCTAGAACAGGCAAATAGCACTGAGGGGCAGAAAGAAGGCATCAAACCTAAATAGTCAAGTTAAAAATTAGTTTTTTAAGAAACCAACCATAAGATAAAATCTTCAAAAGTTAATTTTGATTCATTCTTACCATTGACTTTCCCTAAGCCTGGAGCTTTATTTTTCAGCAATGTCACTTGTATCTGTGGAATATTGGTGATGTTTGAGTTCAAAACAAATTTGAAGTCCACATGTCCAACCATACAGGCTTTAGGCAGAACCAATTCAAAAACGTGTTCATCCCAGCTGTTACTGTCAAATATGGAGGAAATGCTAAATAAGACAAAAATCTTATTTTTATCTACCTGTCTAAAAGACGAATCTATCATTAGTATCATCACTCCTACTTTCTGGCTTACAAATTCCAACAAAACTTAATGCTTTTGTTGAAGCCAGGTGTGGTGGTACACTCTTATAATCATAGCACTCAGTAGTCTGAGGCAGTAAGATCACAAGTTCAAGGTCAGCTTAAGAAACACAGACAGTTCCAAGCTAACCTGAGCTACAAAGACAGACTCTGTATCATGTTTTTAACAACAACAACAACAAAAATTTAATGTTTCTCAATGGGATCAGGAAAAAAAATAAACATCCCCTAATGGAGCAGTAATGAAAGATCATGCCTTAGAAATGTACACCTGCCTTGAGACTTGTGTATATCCATAAGCCCTTGTTCTTCAAAGTGGAGAATCAGTTATCAGAATTACAGGCAGATCCCTAGAGTCTACTCTAGATTTATGAGTGGGGTCCTAGAATACTAAATGTCAAGCAAGAACTTCTAATATATAGCCATTCTCTGGTTATAAATTCTTCTCTCACATCAGTTGTTCAATACATCAGCAAAATTCTATTCCTTCTACCTCCGAATTATATCCAGAAAGTAACTACTCTTTTCACTACCTCCGTCTCTATCATTGTGGTCCAAGCTACCATCAGCATTTCACCTGAATTACCACAACCGCAACCAAATCACAGTGTTTCCATCATTGCCCACCATCACCATAACCACAACCACCTGTTATCTATTTGGAACGTAACAGTCGCAGCAAGCCTCCTAAACTATAAATTGCCTTACGTCTCTCATGTATTCAAAACTCTCTTAACATCTTCCTATACCATGCAACACATCTTTCTGTATCATGCAACATAAAAATCTGACCTTACTTCCTACCATTCTCCATTATGCTCATTGTACTCCAGCAACAATAGTTTTCATACTTTCACCTGAAGTCATAAAATACTCTTCAGTGTCTTAATACTTGCTACTGACTATGAACTAGACTCTCTATACAGAGCATTCACAGACCCCTAAATAGAAAAATTATCATATACATTGTCTTTCTCTCACTCTTTCACATATATTTTTATCAACAACTACTGTATCACCACACTCTATTTAACATTCTTTTAAATTTTTAAGATCATATAGTTTGGGATGTTCAATGACCATTCGAACATAAACTCTATGAGACTCATACTGCTAATGCCCATGAAGGTTCCTCCTTTTAAGTAAATATGTGGACTAAGCAGCCAAACCAGTAGCAAAGAGTACATTTTTCTCATACTTTTATCTTACAATGGAGAATAAGAATAGAGCAATTTCCAGAATCGAAATGAAAAGTGGAAGGAACAAAGTAACTAATATGTAAATGTTAAGAGAACAGTAATACACCTAGGAATTTCACAATGTCTCTAACAAAGGAAACACATGGATATAAATTTATACTGGAAACTTCTTACCTGTCAGTCTGCAGTTTCCAAGTTCTAGTGTGCTGAGCGGCATCTCCGTGGTGCTGCTGGTGCAAATGTTGAGGATGCCTTCTTTGCTGTTGCTCTTGCTGAACTTCTACCCAGCATGGAGGGACAGTAGCTGAAAACCGAGGAGTCAATGTCTCAAAGCGGGTTAGCTCTACTAGAGACGTCAAGATGTCAAGAGTGAATGGCTGGTCCACCAATAAATCAACTCCTTAACAATGGTAATTGTAGTGTTTCAGACAGGTTTTTAAAAAAAAAGAAAAAATGAAACTTTAATTCATGCTTTTTTGTTTATTCAAATGTAATGCTGTCAAATATCCTGAAAGTTAATAAAGCGGGCTCAGCTATATCTACAGTTGAGTAAATCAACCAACACTGGCTAAACTACAGCACAGAAGAAAAGCCCATCATGAATATTTTAAATTACAGAGGGAATATCACCACTGCAGAAACTCAAACATATAGTCTCTTAGAAGGCTTACTGAGCTTTAATTACCCCTATAAGTAAACAAGAACAGAAAAGTCAGTGGTACTAAAATGCAAACCAGTATATATCAGATCAATAATTAACTTTTACACTGTTATTTACAAAACGAAATGCTAGATACCAACAAATACATAAAATATGCCTTTTTATGATCAATTTAAAAAATTTGAACAGTCAAAATTTAGTCTAATGACAAATAAGTGTAAGAATTAAACAGTATTCTTTTACCTCTGTGGTAGTTAAGAGTACTTTATAGACATACTAGTATTAAGAGATTAATGATCTACTTCAAACAAATTACTTTTCTTTGACAAATATAAGTATTCACATCTGAGAAAGGTATAACACTACATAAAGCTGAGAAGATGTTGTTCTTATTCCAATTAAAACAAGTAAGTTTAGTCAGGCAGGGTGGTGCACACCTATAATCCCAGCTACTCAGGAAGCAGGGTCAAGAGGATCTAAGAATAAAGCTAGCCTGGGCTAAGGTAATGAGACCTTGAATTAATAATAAAGACAAAACAAAAAGGGCTGGTGGCATAACTCAAGTTGTAGAGTGCCAGTCTAGCATGCACAAGGCCGTAGGTTCAACCCCTACAACCACACAGACACACACACACACACACACAAATTTAAGACTAAAATATGAAATCTGGTAGGTTTAGATTATTTTGAACAAAGAAACAAAAAATGGCACTAAGAGTAAAAAACCAACAGCATTATGGAACACAAAAGGTATAGAGAATGGGTAAGAGAGCTTAGTAGAGGGATGAGACTGGCTCACTGGTAGATCACTAGTGTGTGTGTACAAAGAGACAGAGAGAGAGAAACAGATGGATCAAGGGAAAAGCAGGTAGGTTAGTCAACATGTGAAGAGCATGAAACTAAATTAAGAAATCACAGGGCTAGTCAGATGCTGATGGCTCACACCTATAATCCTAGCAACTCAGGAGGCAGAGATCAGGAGAATCATATTTCAAAGCCAGCCCAGATAATAGTTTGTAAGTCCCAATTTCGAAAAATCCCATCACAAAAACAGGCTGTTAGAGTGGCTCAAGGTGTAGGCCCTGAGTTCAAAAACAAAAGAAGTCACAAGTCTGTAGATGTGGCTCAAGTGGTAAATTGGGAATTATAAGACCCTGAGTTCAAACTCCAACAGAGGGATTGGTGGAGGGGGACACAACAAAGAAAAAGGAAAGAATGGGGAAGAAAAGGGAGGGAGGGAGGAAGAAAGGAAGGAGGGAAAGGAAAAAACAAAGTTTACTGCCTCTCAAGATTGAAAAGCAATATAGAATTATTTCATAAAACCCATAAAATGAATAATGATTTCTAAGCAAGGACTGACATTGAGAACCTACCACAGGTTGAGAATCATTTCTTACTTTATTTATCTTCTTCCAACTACTAGAAAAATAACTTTAAGTAATAAACAATAACAAGTTTGATAAAGGAATACTAATAAGAAAATGAAATATCTCAACAAAGCAACAAAGAGTTTATTATAAAACTGAAATAATATTTAAGGCTATATAAAAGGGCTCAGAAACATAACAGGAATTTGTACTGTTTTAGAAATCATTCAAAAATTTAGTTTCATACCTGAAATACCAGGACTTGAAGGATTTGATAAAGGTTTAGAACCTTCTAAAGATGGTTCTATTCCTTTAGAAAGAGATCCATCCACTAGAATATCGGCTTCATCAATATCATCACAGGCTCCTCCAATTTGGAGAAAATGAAGTTCACCACCTACAGTATAGTAGTAAAATTCTATTAACAGAGATATATAGGAAATGAACAAAAGTTCAAATGCAATACCATTTAGTTAAAATTTTTATCTATTTTAATGTCACTTGAGAACCAGATAAAGAAGGCTATCAAAGTGATTTACTCAAAGAATGTGGAAATTTAATTGTCACAAATTGCAAAAACCAATTATAATAAAGACAAACATATGAAAATAGATACTCATCTCATACTATATGCAAGGTACTAAGTGCTTTAATTAATTAATCTAATCTTCACCCAAAACCTTTGATATGAGGACTATTACTGTGACCAACGTAGAGAAGAGAAAACTTACACACTAGCTAAACTGGGTTACACACAGTCCAATCTCTTAATCCCAGTATTAGTAAAACTATATTCTTAATTTTGAAGCCCTCACAATGAAATGAAAGCAAATCAAATTTCTAGTTTTCATATCTGTCACAAAAAAATAACTGACAACAGCAAACTTAGCAAATATTTAAGACAATAAAATAGTCAACACATAATGGTATATAATAGCAAAGGATTCAGAGCCACCCATCCCAACACGACAAAATAAGTAGGATGGTACACCATCTTCCTAAAAACAAACAAACAAAAAAAAAACCAACTATAACTCTGGAAAAAACTCAATCAACCACAGTAAGTAAAAACCAAAAGACTTGCTATTGCTTCCTGAAGGCGCACACTTGATCTAGTCAGCTTTCAGCTTAAAATGGTGATTTCAGTGGGAGGCAAACAAGGTCTCCTACCTAAGGTCATGATCCTATATAAGGTAAGTAACACATTAAAATATTCCAAGTAGTAAAAGAAGCACAGAGAGTTGGATATACTCTCTACAAACCCAAGTTTATCAGAGGCTGTGCACATGTGCAGGAAAAATCATATGGGAACTGGGGATCAGGTGGCTCACACCTGTAATCATAGCGACATGGAAGGCTAAGTTTGGGAGAATTGTGGTTTGAGTCCAACATGGGCAAATATTTTGCAAGACCCCATCTCCAAAATAACCAGACTAAAAATGGACTGGAGGTGTGGCTCAAGCAGTAGAGCATCTGCTTTGCAATACCAGTCCCACAAAAAACCACAAAGGATTGTATCAAATTTTAAGTACCACATTGTTGAGTTTATTACATATGTAAATGTGGGGATTAAGGCAAAATTTCTATAAACATTTCCATATATTTTACTAGAATTAAGTTCATATTCTTCTAAAGTAGACTATGATAAATTACTAAAAGCATAAATCAAAACAATAAGTGTAAAAGAAAACACAAAGGCCAGTGATTTTGAAGGCAAATGTCAGGGTAGGAAGTTCTAAGGGTCAGTGCCTTCACCAAAGCAATCACTAAACTAAATGTGTACTACAATCAACTACTTTAGACTATGCTAAGTAGGAGGGAGGAGGATGAGGGAAAAGGATGATGAGGATGAACTTTACCAAGGTACAATGTAAACACATATGAAAATGTCACAATGAAACCCTGTGTACAACTAAGATGTGCTAATAAAAATGTTTACAAGGAAAAAAAAAAAAAGCCTCTGGAACATAAGAGGACATTGACAACTAGACGGTGAGAAGAAGAGTGGCCTGCACTAATAGCTGGCATCCATCATTCTTCAGTGCTGCTGGAGCCTTGGGGAAAGAGGTCCACATGCCAAGAGCTGCTATGCTAGTTAGTGTCAGGCCAGCCAGTACGTATACTGCCCTCCACAACTTTGGAATTGGGCATTTTGGTTGCGCTGAGGTGCCAGGGTAGTCTCTTATCATCCTTTTGGCCTTCTGAGGTTGCAGCTGCTTCCCCCTACCACTACCACCACCACTTCAAAGGAGGGAAACCCTTTTTTGTTTAAGGCAGGAGAGCCTGGAGAAATTCTTTTGTCAGGGAAAGTATGACCCATTCACAGGAAAAAAAGAATTAGAATTACTAGTCAAAGATGTTAAATCAATTGTCCTGTATGGCCAACCTACTAAGGGAAACACTAGAAAAATAAGGAAAACAGCAAAGTAAAAACACAAATTTGTTAATGAAAAGATAAACTTTTTCAAAGTTAGATTAATTTTTGCAGCAAAGAAACACTATCAAGAATGTGATGAACAATCAAGAAAATGATGAATTATCAAGTAAGAGATGAACACAGTGGCACATGCCTGCAATTCCAGCATTTGGGGGGCTGAGGCAGAAGGATCATGAGTTCAAGGCCAGCATGAGCTACCAGAGGGAGCTCCAGGCCAGCCTTGAAAGACCCTGTCTAAAAGAGTCCAATGAAATTCATCACAGAATTTGAAAAAATCAACCCTAAAGTTCAGCTGGAAGCACAAAAGACCACAAATAGCCAAGGTAACTCTGAGCAAAAACAGGAAATTGAAGGTATCACAAAACTCAACTACAACCTATAATATACAGCCATAGTAATAAAAAGAACATGGTAGTGGCACAAAAACAGATACAAAAATCAGTAGAACAGAAGACCCAGATATGAGTAAACAAAGCTACACCCACCTGATTGTTGACGAAGGCACCCAAAACATATGATGGAGAAAAGAGTCTTTTCAAAAAATGTTGCTGGGAAAAGTGGTTATCTGCCTGCAGAAAACTGAAACTAGATCCATGCCTATCACCCTGTACTAGTATCAACTCAAAGTGGATTAATGTAAGACCTGAAACTTTGAAACTACTGCATAAAGAGGCAGGGAATACAATGGAATTCAGAGGCATACTCAAGGACTTCCTCAGTACAACTCAAGTGGCTCAAAGAGAAAGGATTGACAAATAAGACTACATGAAATTTTAAAACTGCTGCACAACAAAAAAAATTGTCACCAGATTGAAGAGGCTGCCCACAGAATGGGAAGTAATCTTTCTCAGCTATACATCTGGCAAAAGAATAAAAACCAGAATATATAGGGAAAACAAAAAACTAAACTCTCAAAAACATCAATGACCCAATGAAGAAATGGGCAAAAGAATTCAACACAGCCTTTTCAAAGAAGAAGTCCAAATGGGCAAAAAACAAAAGAAGAAATGCTTAACATCCTTGTCCATAAAGGAAATGCAAATCAAAACCAGGTTAAGATTCCACCACACTCCTATTAGAATAACTATCATCAAGTACACAAACAATAACAAATGTTGGTGAGGATGTGGGAAAAAGGAACCCTCATACACTGTTGGTGGGAGTGTAAATTAGTAAAACCATTATGGAAAATAGTATGGAGGCTTCTCAAAATACTAAAAAACTGCTATATGATCCAGAAATACCACTCCTAGGGAAATACCTGAAGGAATGTAAAAGGAATGTAGTCAGATACCTGCACACCCATGTTTACTGCAGCATTATTCACAACTGCCAAGCTATGGAAACAGCCAAGATGCCCTATGACTCATGAATGGATTAAGAAAATGTGGTATACATATACAAAGAAAATTTCACTCGGTCATAAAGAAGAATGAAATTTTGTTGTTTGCAAGTAAATTGAATGGAACTGGAGAACATCATCTTAGCAAGTCAGGTTCAGAAAGCCAAAGGCCACATGTTTTTCTCATATGTGAAATACAAGCAATACTTTGAAAAACAGGTCACGCTAAGGGAAGGTCACTAACAGGACAGTAAAAGAAGGAAGCTAAAAAGTGAATATGGTTGATGTACTTCCTATACAAAAATAAATATAGAATTTTTAAACCTTTTGAAATCATTATAAGAAGAGAAGTAAAGTAGAAAGAAGAAAAAAAATGGAACAGTTAAACTAATTCAGGTTGTAAAACATATATATACAGGTAAATGTTACAATGCAACTCCCTGTACCTTAAACAAGTATATCTTCAAAAACTAGGGACAAGAAGGTAAAACAGGAACTGTTCTGCAGGGTGGTATCAGGAAGGAGGATATAAGGAAAGGGTGAAGGAAGGTATTCCATCTTGGTGGATATATTAAGTACTCATGTATGCACATGGAAAAATGAGACTGCTGAAAATATTTTAAGAGAGGAGGAGGGAGGATAAAGGTGAACAACAGAAGGGGTGGATTTAACTAAGATATATTGTGAGAGCTTTTGTAAATGTCACAGGGTACCTCCTGTACAACAATAAAAAAAAAATTAAAAAAAAAAAAAGAACAGAAAGCAGTCTGAAAAATCTCAAATATTTGGAAGCTAAACAAAACACTTCTAAATGACCCCATGGATCAAACAAGAAGTCACAATGGAAGCTAGAACATATTCTGAGTAAAATGGGGAGGGGGGAAAAAAAAGGTACCAAATTAGTAGATGTGGCTAAAATAGTGCTTTCAAGGCAAATTACAGCCATAAAATGCCTCTATTGAAGAAGGTCTGAAACTAATAACAGAAGCTTAAACCTTAAGAAATAGGGAATAAAGAGCAAAATAAACACCAAAGCAAGCAGGAAAAAATAAGTATTGTAGTGGAAATTGAAATTACCCTAAAAAAGAAAAGAAAGAAAAAAAGAAAAACAACAAAGGGAAATAATTAACTTTAAAACCACATTGGGAGGATTCCAAGATGGCAGCTACAGGGAGGAAGCAGAAAGCGTGCCTCCTAAAGTAAAATCTTGGAGAGACGCTGGAGATACACCTTGCAGACAAAACCACCGAGAAGAGGCAAAACTTTGACCCCTCCACATCTCCAGCCTGCGCAGAGCATCTCCAATTCACGTTAAACGGAGAAACCAGGAGGGCCCCCCAGGCCACTGCCAGATGCCGGCACCCAGAAGGTTTGGGAAGACACGGACCACAAGGTGAGCTAAGCAGTACGCAGTACACCCACAGACAACCCTGAGACAAATCAGCATAGCCCCCTGGACAGACCGACCCACACCCAGGGAAAAAAAGAGAAACTGAGAAATAAGCAATAAGAACAATAAAGACACATAGCAAAGAGGGTGGGGTGCCCAAAACACCCAAGGGGGAGAGAGGGGAATCCCTCCCGGAACTGTAAATAAACAAGTCGGGCCTGGCTGGAG